TAGTTAAAGGGAACGAGAGGAATAAAAGTATTCGTTCTATCGAAATGAGACAAAATTAAATATATTCAAATTTAAATTTTATTCTAGTTGAACCTAAAAAACCTTAAAAAAGTTTTGATAAACCCACTTTTTAAACAATTTAAAGTGAAATTTTTCAATGAACAAACATGATTTTACAAAAAACATGATTTTTTTAAGTTGCTAAAAATTAATGAATTTCTCACTTTTCTCTGGATACCATTGAAAAATAACTTTGTTTAGGATGGAAATTGTCACCTGTATCTTTTCCGCCAAAGAACACAAGCATGCTCGTGGCGCCTCGGCATAATGCTTGTACCCGGAATATTATGACATATATTTTAACGAAAAAATTTCAGAAGAATGTTGAAATATATAACAATAAAACCTGAAAGTTTCGTTTCAATTAAATACTTATTTCCTTTCCTAAAAATTCATCAAAAAAGCGATTTGTTGAAGCCTCTAAAACAGGCTTTTCCTTTAACAATATGATCAGCCAATAAGATTATTGAAAGATTGAATATAAATATTGCATTTTTTGCCAAATTAATGTTAAAGAAATAAGAGTACTTTTAAACGGAAAACTATTTTTAAAGATATATTCATAGAAAAATGTGATAAGTGATGAGATCGCAGAATAATATCAAAAAGTATTATGTATGTTTTGGGGAATTAGTTGGAAGTAGCACTGGCTACTTCTACTATTGTCATTTACATATCATATGACATTTAACTAAATATATTATCTTTAAATTTACTAGATGTCCACTAAGAACAGTTGTAAATTATATGGTGAAAAAAAAACTTTTAATATCCTGCTATATTTTATTTGTTGATTAGTAAAAACGTTAAAGTATAAAGTAGAGGTGCAAACGTTGCTTTCCTGGTAACTTAGAACTACTCAGACAATCATAAATTTGTCATCAATTTTATAACGTATAGATGTGAATTTTAGAATTTTATTATATTGCATAAAGTAGTAGCTATGATTCATGAATACTAACTCGTGTGTCATAATTTTGCATATGATAGATATTACAATCATCTTATCGAGTTAAAATTATGCACTGAGTTATTACTAAGTGACTCACGATAATTGCGCAAGATGTAACAGGAACATTTTGAATAAGTACTTGTACGCCTTTATGCCTATTAATAAATTATGTTGCAAAGAACATATGGAACGTAATCTATGACAGTGGTGAAAAATCTACGTCATACCATAATTTACTTGGAATTGATCTATTGAACTATCTAAACCACTAATTTTTCTCAAGTACGATTGTAATTCACAAACCTGTATAATGCACAATGGGAGCCACTCCTTCATTCTTTAATATTTATTTCTAATTATCTTTTTTCCAGTTGTAGGTTGACTACCTCTGGTCAGTTTCTCAATTTCCTCTCGGCGTTATTGTCGAGTAGCAAAATAATCTGTTAACTGTTGTCACGATTGTCTTAATGATTTTTTCTTTGTAATAGATACGCTAGCGCTGGACATGCTAGAATGAAATAAGAATTTATGAGCTTGAGCTTGATTTATTGCAAGAAAACGGCGCGGAATAAATGGCGGCACTTGTGAAAAAGTCTTTATTATAAAATAATAAATCCGTTTAGAAAAAGGAGTAGAAGTAACTCAGCTTGAAGATTATATTGCTGGATAGTCATAAACAATATATTTCTATGAATTTTTTTATGGTTTTGTACTGTAATTCTCTAGTAAGACAAAATTAAAAATTCGGATCAATATCAAAATCAAATATTTAGAAATGTTGCATGATTAATTTCACAAAATTGTTTAAATTACAATTTAGGATATAGAATAGTGGGTATATCATAAGACCGACAGACGCTCTATCAAGTTGGAAACTAAGTTGATACGGAATTTTGGTAGAATATAGACATTTTTTTTATGAAACTAAATATTTTTATGCTGTTATTGTCTATTTTGATCAATGTCTTTTTGTCATCTTTCAAGCAGTATCATATCCCAGTTTCATAGAATTTCTGGTTTTTATAATTTTAATTTTTTATAAAAATTGAATCAGGTACAATTTGAAATAATCATAATAGTTGAATTGTCTACCATTCAAAGAGTTAATCGAGCGGTTTTTAACCTTTTTTGCATCGCGCCCCCCTGCAAATATAAAAAAAAAAATGCTGCGCCCCTCCTTATTTTTTTTAACTGTTTAGTTTTATAAATACTCAACTGATATTATCAGACTACAAATTAATATGCAATATTATGTAAAGATATTCATAAAAACTAAATATTTTTTGTTTATTTTTTAATAACGTTCCATAAATGTTGGGTTATTCTCGATAATAGTATTCTGGAAACAGTTGTACGCGCCCCCCTTAGGACAGCCTGGCGCCCCACTGAGGGGGCGCGCCCCACAGGTTGGAAACCTTAATCAGTATTTTCTATCGGAACAAAAAGTAATCAAAAGCTGCAAGCTCAAGACTACTATATGGTGGATATGGCAAAATATTCCAACCAGGTTCCAATTATTTTTGTCCAGTAGCCAAAGATATGTGATGTCAATAATGTTATAAATCACAGCTTCGGTTTGTCAAATCATACCGCCTTTTTCAACTGAGTTGTTTAATTTCCTTAGTTGTTCAAAGTAGACATCAGAGTTGATCATTTCATTGGGTGGTAAAAGTAATAGTAGACAATTCCTTTGTAGTCAACTTTAACTGGACTATCAGAAAGTTTTTTATATTTGAGTGAAAAATCACCAGATCAAAATTTGGCAAACCTATTTTGACACTGCCATTTTTAAGGCTTGCGATAATATGAAGCCATTACTTTTGTGAACTTAAAATATCTTCTTACCTTTGCAGAAATAAAAAAACAAAATATGACAAAAAATTTCTATTTGATTTTCCATCTTTCATCAACGCCAAAGTAAAAGTACGCTATCGATCAAAAAATTTTTTTTTGGTAATTGGCAGTCGAATTGCCTACTAATATCCCATAACCAAAGTTATTTTACATTTGGACTACGTCAGAAAATCTAAACCATCTAAAAGTAAAAGCCGCACTTACTTAGTTGTCAACCTAAAGTATCTGCAAATATATACATTCGTGATTTTTGTAATCAATATTACATTATTTATCATCTATAAAACGCTAAACATTCTATGCTCTATTATCTCTTTTGGCAGAGAATATTTTATAAACGATAAAAATGTAAAATTGCAGCGATGCTTTTAATTATTATACAAAGAATTTTATTAGTGCTCTGCTTAAAGGCGGTTCTATAGTATGAGATTAAAATGTTTCCCATTTCTCCTACCCCTTGTTTACAATATGCTTTTTACACTTCAATTCCCTTTATTTCTTTTTTCCCTTCATGTCATTATTGCAGAGACATCTGCATTCTTATTTGTCCCATTTTTCTTGGAAAAAATAGGGATTTGAGAATGGATCGTGCAGTAAAGAATCTTTTTGTAATTGGGCTCCAATTAAGTTCTTAGGTTTCACAATCTTATTCAGTAGAGTTTTTTAGGTGTTTTATAATATTTTCCTCAATAAGGGGCACACACCTACTGTGAAATTTTCAATAAATCGAATTTTGAATTTTTCTATATTTCGATAGGCTTATACTTTTAAAAATAACATACTAAAATTTTAAATCGATATCTTAAATAGTTTGAGTTACAGCCATTTATATAGAATGTAGTACATATATAGTATATAGTATAAGGATCATTTTATATTTAAACGCGTTTTTTTTCGAAACAGCATTTTTTGAATTTGCTGGAGAGATTACTCGGAGACAAATGATCCGATCACTATCAATTTTTTTTGCATCTCCTTTATATAGTTCTTCATAGGATGACCCTCCACTTTTTTGATCTGATCAAAAATTGTTTTTTTTTAAAACATGCCGCCATTTTGTCAATTTTTGATTCTTTTTGTTTGCCCGAGGGTGATCGTAGAGACAATATGTTTCTTTAACGCAGCGGTTTCCACCCTTTTTGGCACCGCGCCCCCCAGTTCCAATAAAAAATTTTGTTGTGCTTTCTTAATTTTTTCAACAAATTAAGTTTATAAATACTTAACTGACATTATCAGACTACAATGTTATGTTATGTTATGCTATGTTAAAATATGCAACACTTTGTAAAAAATATGCCTAAAAATTATTTATTTTTTGATAATTTTTTAATATTATTTTGAAAATTTCGGGTTATTTTCTATAAAAGTGTTCTGGAAATAGGTGTAAGCGCCCTCCTTAGAACAGCCTGGCGCTTCCCTGAAAGGGCGCGCCCCACAGGTTGGAAACTGCTGGTTTAACGAGAATTTTTTTTTAAATGTTTTATCAACGGAGAAGGCTGCAATCACTCCAGCAATCGAGGACTTCTTTTTTTTGCGGCGCCGGATCTCACTTGTCATTTCAAAAATATTTAATATTTTATTTAAAAAATTTCACTGTGTATTCTCAAAACATGTATAAATGCCTCCTCAAAATTTCAAATTTGGGAATTTTTAATTCCCAAAATATGACATTTTCTTAGGTTGTCACACTAGGTGTGCCCCTTAATAACTTCAGACTATTCTTTCATTCTTTTGTTTCCAACACCACCTAAAAAAAATAAAAAAGATCCTAGACAATATTAGAATATGATATATTCAAATTCATGTTATTGGTTTGCAAAAATATATATACCAATCTGAACAAATTAAAAATTTGAACATTGAAGATTCTTGTTGATCTGTGTCATTGATACGATTTTCACTTTTGTTTATGTGGCAACGCATTGTAGTAAGAAACAACCAATCCTTGCAAGAAAATGATAAGTGACTTGGAACAAATATATGCCAACCCAAATGTTTGTTTCAAACATATCGTAGTAAAAAATCATTATTATATTTGTATATTCCGCTTTATCAAGAATTCATGAACAATAATTAATTAAATGGTAATTATTAATCATCTTGTGTGTAATTAAACGATTTTCTTTTGTTTCAGTTCGGGCAACGTGTGCCCACGGCCGCGTCGCCTAGTAACACGAATTCGAGCAGCTCATCGAACACGGGCAGCCAGAGCGGGACTCTCAGCACAAGCCTGAGTAACAATTTAGGGGCCTCACAGCCACAAGAAACGCTTTCTAAGACTAATTTGTATATAAGAGGACTGGCACAGAATACCAGCGATAAGGACCTGGTGAACCTTTGCACGCAGTGAGTAGAAATGAATAATATTATCTGAATATATTTATTTATGCAATTTGGAATAATTCCAATAATTAAAAGTATGCATTCTACGTAGGGGAAGTACGGACAAAATGACATGGTGTTTTGTTTTTTATTGATATTTATTTATTCGTTGATATTACGATAAGTCTCAAACGTTCTTTACTCATCTTCGATTTATTGACTACCAATAACATAGTCTTTTAATTAAGTATGGACTATAGTTACACATTTACTAAGGCAGTGCTTTCCAATCTTTTTTGCACCGCTCCCCCTGCTCGAATAAATAAAATTGCTGCGCCCCCTTATTTTTTTCAACTATTTAATTTTATAAATACTCAACTGATACTATCAGACCACAAATTAATATGCAATAGTATGTAAAAATATGCATGAAAACTAATTATTTTTTGTTTATTTTTATTATAATTTTTTGTTTATTTAGATTTAATAAAAAAATTTACAAATAAAAATATATAAGACCCTAAGAACATAACAAAATGAGCCTCAAAATTAAATTTTGAAGACGCGATACACGTTTGAACAGATTACTGCGACCAGACTGTGACAATGACGATCAATGTCTGACTGGATTGCGATTACAGCTTTTTCCATGTTACATAGTCGCGAAAATTATAGTTACAAAAACTAGCCAATTCTTAAATAAGGCCATATATACATTATTTTGTCCGTATTTCTCCCTAATTGATAAATTATTGAAAAAAAGGTAAATGTGTTCCTTGAGCAACAGTTGTCTCTTCTCCATTTTGGTTACTTCTTAAGTGGACATGCTTTATATATCATAATCGTGTTAATACAGGATTGTATTTTTAATAATTATCCTTGAAAATCCAATTATTTCATTCTTTAATGAAGTACTGTTTATTATAAATAATTATCAATAATTTAAAATGTGATTTAGATATAATATTATTATTTATTTTTTACATTATATTATTAAATTATAAAAAAATAAGGAACGCGTTTGATTTTTATTTTAAACAAATTTGACTTAAATTATTCCTTCTCGGTTTGTCGGGTTTTATTGCCCTGTGTTTGAAATTCAGATTATTATAAAAATTTCATCTGAAAACATAATTCATGAAGTGAAGTATTGGACAATTCTCATGTTTTGAGAAAAATAGATTTTTTTGCTTTCTGTCCTCGCATAAGTATTTTGGCGTGAAGTGCAAATGCAAACAAAAATTTTTGGATATTTTTTGTGGGTTACAAAACTTCACTTGATTGAGTAAATAATTATCAGATAGCACTTTGTTTCATAATGCTTGTGTAGATTTCTAGTTACTTACTATTCAATTACAAATAGTAACATGAAATTTACACAGGCCATATGAAGCAAAGGGTCTATTGGATAAGTCTTGAAGCCATCAATATTTTGAAATCCTTGAAAAATATTTGAAATCTGATGAGATGAGATTTTTGTTTTTTTATTATTTTAAATTAATACATAAATTACAATTTTTAATATTTTATTTTGAAAACTTACGATCAGAAATATAATCATCTCTGAATTTTTTTATTGGCTTTAGAAATTTCTATGATTTTATAACCATCTGTTTTAAGCTACAATTTATTTTTCCTTTTTAAACATTTATTAGGTTATGTCTATGGATTAATATAAGTTTGGTACAAACGTCTTAAGTTTTGTGTTTAAAATATATTAAACTCATCTGCAGATCGGTTGATTTGTTCAGTGATTAGCCCAGTGGCTTCCAACCTTTTTGCTACCCTGGTTTTTAAAAAAAAACATTATTGCTTTAATTTTATGATATTATAAATATAATAATTTTATAAAATTATTAATTTATTTATATTATTAATATTATCCAATTACCAAAACAACCAAAAAATACCTAATGATCTCATAAATATCCATTAAAAAAAAGCTCATAACTTTATTTATTCTTTCATTATTATTATTTTTTTTTAATTTAATTTTTTATTTTACTATTATTACTATAATTATTATTTTGTTAGTTTATTATTTTCAATAGTATTCTTTTGTTATATTTATTATTATTTGTCATTTATTGTTTTTATTGTACTTCATTGTTTTTCTAATATTATTTCTATTATTGATAAATTGTATTTATTCATTTTATTATTATTATTATTTGCTCTTTATTTTATATTAAATTATCAACACAAAATCGTATGAATAACATTTCCTCAATACTCTCTTTTATTTTATTATATTTTATTTCTAATTTTTATCTCATGTTACTTAGCAGTTGTAACTGATAAAAAAATATGTAAAAATATTTAAAAAAATATGTTTAATTTATTCATTTTTATATCGTTTTAACATTTTTTCATTTATTTCCGAAAATTGTATTTTATAACAGCCTTGCGCTCCCCTGAGGAACCGAATCCACAAGGATCCATGATTAGAGCCAGTGGCAATCATAATGAATTTGCAATAAATGATGAAATTTTACTTTTCTAATCATAAAAAAATATTTTAATAATTCTATTTTATAGAATATAATACCAGATTAGCGTGATTATTTCTAAAATATTGACATTTTCCATCATGAGAATCTTGAAGATGCAATTTCTTCTCTTGTATTTGTTCTCATCAGCTTTCTCTGTATCTATGGCACCGGATGCTTTTGTAATATATAATAATTACAGTTAAAGGCAAAACTATCGCGGAAGATGCATTTTCGCATTGGTCAAATGCCAACATGTCGACGCGAAATTTATTTCACAGAAATCTTGATGAATCGTTGTTAGAAAAATATTTCTTTAGTAAATATAGTTATATAATAACGTAGGTCCACTAAATGGAAAAAGTTGTCTATTGGATGTGCAGCATATATTTTCCAATGTAACACTTTCCAACTTAACACGAATCTGAAGTCAAAATTGGGGGTCAAAAGGAAAAAAATTGAAAAAATTAGAAAGACGACAAAAGCTCCGATTTAGTAGTTCTTCTGCATAATAATTAAAATCTTATAATTACTGTACTTTCCTTAAATGACCATTGAGTTTCAATTAAATGATATAATAAGTTTTTCTTTCTATAATTCAGTAGTAATTTGCAAAAATATTTCCTCCCTATTGCTCTTGGGTGCTCTGCAACCATGTTTGCAATTTGAATATCAGAAAATGTGTTGGAAAATTACAGCTGTATTCTACAAAAAAAACTCAATAGATCATTTAAGTGAATACCCAATTGTCATTCAAGGTGAAAAGGGCCAGGAATCGACAGAAATTATAGGATTGTAAGTATCATGCAAGAGAATTACTAGATCGGAGATTTTGTCGTTCTTTTGATTTTTTTTTTCAATTTTTTGCCATTTGGTGAAAACTACATTGGAAAATATATGCCCAATACAGATAGCTTTTTTTGTCTTGACTTGTCTTGAAATCTGTCTTGACTTCTGATTACTGAATAAAAATTTTCTAGAAAATGAAGTGTTATTTATCGAAGTTTGTTTGTGATTATAAAAGGATTTAATGCTTATTCCTATTTGTTTTTCATACCTCTGATGCGAATTTTTATCTTTATGAATGTAATTATTTCTTCTTGGTGAAAATAAGCTAAATAATATAAATAATTTAATATTTTTATTTTTTCAGATATGGCACGATCACATCCACAAAGGCTATCCTGGACAAAAATACTAATAAATGTAAAGGTATGATTTGGTATTTGTGGAATGCGCATGTAGAGAATGCGATCATTCACTTTATTTTTTATATTTATTTATTATTATCGATTTGATTGTATTTTATGTTATGTATACAAATATTGCTACTTGTAGGAAGTTTATTTTTTTAAATTTATTTTCGTTATGCACATTCAATCATACGTTATTCCTGTTTACTCTAGAGTACATGTAATTATTATAGGGGCTGTTGATATGGTATATAGATCGTTTACATTTTGTTCAGTTCATATGATTTTTATTATTTTTTAGTTTGGTACATCCTTGTAATTATTTCAGTTTTCAATTCTTCAACCAAATATTATTTTTAAAGTTAATAGAGATTTATATCTTAAATTTAGATTTATCGAAAAGTAATCGATCATAAGTAAACTAAAAATTTAATTGCCAAACGCTCAACTTTCCTGTATTTTTATTAGAATTGTATAAGCATATTCTCTCTAGATCAATTGCTGGCGAATCTTGTAACGAAATTATTTCTGAATAATATCATTCTAGTAATGTATGCTTCTGTACATAAATCAAAACTTTATTTAGCAAGTACATTAACAAGGATTAATCCACATAACGAGCACAATAAATAGAAATACATACTTTTAACAAAAATATTATATATTGTTTTGGCAAATCATCCAAATTTTGCAACTGATAGTTCTGTATCACTACCAATGTTTTACTTTTTGAATATACGGTTGTGGATTAAATTTTGCTCTGGAATTATATTAATCAAATTTATTAATCAGACCGTTTATGACAATTTGTTCACTAATAGCTTAATTCCTCTTTTATTCAAATCAGTGATAAAAATTAATGAGCACAATGGAGATTTTTACGGACTCTGGACTATCATATCAGTCAGTTGTTAACTGACAGTAAATGGTCATACCTAATTTTCCTTAAATTTAGTGGTTAAGTTTGGACTAAGAAATTAAAAAAAGTAGGTTTATATTTAGACTATAAGTCTAAAAAGACTGTAGAACTTATGCAACGTTTTACAGTAGTTATTGTCTGTTAGTCTGTTAGTATTATAAATAAGAAGTTGATTTAAATTCCAAACAACAAGCGTTTTTCATAACTTTTTGCACCAATTGAAACTCTATATTTTATTATGTACCATAATTTCAAAAATATAATTTGCTCTAGCCTATGTATTTGGTGCTGGAAATGTTCTTGATGTTAGTATATTAGACCGCACAAGAGTAATTAAATTTTTAAAATTATTATTATACTCTTGTAATAATAAATGTTAGACAATGAGAAGATTTGTTTTTGATAGTGTATGTGGTAAATCATATATCAAAAGTTTATCATTTACATGTAGTGCGATGAAATTAGATATCGAATAAATATGAAAACTAATATGAGACAAATGTTTATATGGTATTTATGATTTAAGGTTACGGCTTCGTGGACTTTGAGTTACCTCAATCTGCCGAAAATGCCGTAAAGGGCCTGCAAGCCAAAGGAATTCAGGCGCAGATGGCCAAAGTGGGTATCTGGCTGCTGCCTAGAGCCACTGTACGTTGCATGCAAGTACTGTACTATCATCACAAAATAAAAATAACCATATATATATATATATATATATATATATATATATATATGCATTGTTATACAAAACTTGATCTAAAAGGGCATTGCAAACACATTATCTTCAATTCAACACATGACCATTTCAATTTTTCATATCAAATGAAATATTTTATAGTGTGTAATGGTGCTCCTTTTGTTGAAGTTTATATAATTAATCCTTTCAAATATAAAATAATAAATGGTGTTATTAAAATAATTAATTCGAAGAAAATTATATATAGTCTATTATATTCCGAACCTAAAACTCATAAATCAAATGAAAGCTTGAGTTACAGTAGTTTCACCATATTGGAACTATGACAAATTACATCTTCAGGAAAACTTTATTTCCGTTTTTTTAGGTTTTTATGAATTCCCTATGATTAATAATATAAATTGGTATGCTTTCTAAGGGGAAAAGTTACTTATGGTCGAAGATTTTTTTAAAGTGTTTCTCGCAAAACAATTAAAACAAAAGCCAAAAAATATATACATATTACAAATACTTTGTCTTTTTATACAGGATTACTTGCATATATATTTATATGTATGTAGAATATTTTTATACAAAAGTTATTTTTCAATAATTTTAATAACACCATTCATATTCCTTTTCATTTTTGCTTAAAAATGACAACTTATAATATTTATTAACAAATATCATCATAATAACAAATGCGATTAGTGTATGATACATTGCAATAAGAAACCACGAATTTTTTGGTATACTTGGACAAATTCATAAAAAACTAGTATTAAAATCATATTTGCGATGGACTGGTTCATTGATTAATTACTACTAAATATTAATATTATAAATAAATAATAGTACTGGAAAAAATTGAAGGATATGTAAATATTGCTTGAAGATTTTTTTTTCAATTAAATTTAAATTGTACTAATTTACAAATAAGATCATTCATAACTATAACTAAAAACTAACAGTTCAAAATAATTTTGCATGGTATAATTAATGTCTTGATTAATAGTGGGCAAACTAATAGAACAATAGTAATTTTAAGCATAAAAAATGCAATATTTAGTTTAAATCTTTTTTATTTCGTTAATTCCAATATATAAACTATAATGCATTGCAATCTAAATATAATGTATTTTTACAAGACATTATTCTTTCACTAATTTTGGATACATGCAAAGAATATAAGAATTAAATGTTAAACTAAATTTAATTTTTTATTCATAAATATATCATAATAGCTTTGTCTCGATCAGACGACGACATATTTGTGTGTAATGAAAGTGTGTTAAAACATAAAAAAGTTCTTCATTTTTACCTTTCAATAATGTAAAAAAATATATTGATTTCTGAAACCAATTAAGTGCTTCAAAATAAGGTGACCATATGTCCCAGATACGCTGGGACAGTCCCGAATTTTTCCTCGAGGTTTTTTCCCCCGGGTTTTTCTAAAAGCAATATTTGTCCCGGATTTAGATCTTTTATCCCTGATTGATCTAGGTATTTGAAAAGTATAGGCTTGAAATGAATTGTTGCAATTACTTGATAATAAAAGTGTGCTTATGTGAAAACTAGAAAATTGCTGAATGCAACATTCCAAAGGCGGAACTAGCCTCTCAACTATCATTTTTAGTTTTCCAAAAATTAGCAGAATTTATGAAAATGAACTTTTTGACTGCTAATTTTTACTAAGTTATTAAGACTTCAAAGCATGGATAAAATAAATCGAAAAATATAAGATTTAGTATAACACTTAACCGAATAATAAAGTTCTTAGACGTCAGTAATTCTTACTTAAAAATGCGATTAATAAAACAAACTGATTTTTTTTCTATTTTTAAATAGTATTTGTTATTTTAAATTATATTCGTCATCAAGGCACTACCCCCTCTCTCACTCCACCCCGGATTAACATAACTAAAAAAATATGGTTACCTTATTTAGGAAACCTGTGCTTCGTTTTAATGCTTTGTCTACCGATTAAGACAAATTTAGCAAGTAAATTTTCAAATACTATTGGGCGCCTTAATTTATTATTATAATACGATTTTTAAACAAGGCTCATATATTAATATTTTTTTAATGTAATTGGTAGATATATAATGAACAGCTCCTAACGAGTTTCTTGATCTATCTTATACTAACTAACTATTAATATGAATCCTTACTGAAGTGCTTTTATATATATTTGCGTATGTTTCGAATATGTGCTACTATCAGCAACAAGAACAAGATCCGACCAATCTCTACATTGCGAATTTGCCTGTCAACTACAAGGAGACCGATGTCGATAGCATGCTTAATAAATATGGACAAGTGATAAGCACCCGAATTCTTAGAGACACCCAAGGACAATCCAAGGGGGTCGGATTTGCGAGGATGGAGAGCAAGGAGAAATGCGAGATGATCATCAGCGTGAGTTTATTATAAATCAAACATTAAAATATTATAAACTAGGTTGAAAGCATTTTGCCTTAATGGGGGAAGTCTGCTTTAGATTTGCAAAAATATCTTCCAAAACTAGCCAATAATATAACACTAATAGTCCAGTCATTTAAGCTTAAATTAGGTAAGAATTTCGGAATTCGAGATACCCAGCTGTAAGTCTGTAAATACTGTATTTATGGTATGTACACCCTCTAACATTTATGTAGGTTTTGAGACAACTTTTAGGGTGTCATAGAGTATTTACAGACTTACAGCTGGGTATCTGAATTCCGAGGTGAACTTACTATAATGACTGGACTATAAAATTTCAGAAACAGATTCAAATTATATTCGGAGTTACAGAAGAAATAGTGAGTAAGCGTCCAGCATGTAGTATACGAGCAGAACGAAAACTTCGACGCGCGATTTCTTGGTTTTTAATTTTTTCGATTCTTTCTAATATGTCGGAAAAGATGGGAAAAAAACTAAACATCATATTGAAACGAGACAAAATTTATTGCATTTAGTATTAAATTCTATTCGAGTTGAACCTACAAAAACTTAAAAAAAGTTATAATTAACCCACTTTTTAAACAATCTAAAGTGAAATTTTGTATCAGAAAACTTTTTTTTTTCGTGGCATATTTTTTTAACAGCAATTAGAACTTTACGTCCTATGAGCTGTTGGGCTGAAACTTCTCCTTACTTCATATTTTTTAGATGGTAACCCAATGGTTAATCCATCCATATTTAATGATTTTGTTATTAGAATTAATCTAATAGGGCTGACTTTTTATTGGTGCAGCAATGCCGGGTGAGGGCTATTTTTACTTGGAAACATATTGCTATCTATATTTCAAAGTGAAAATCATTGTCACTGCTGCCTGACAACAGGCTGCTCAAAGTGTGTATCGAACCCGGGACCTCTGATTCAGGTCCCGTCGCTCTTAACCGCTTACCTACGGGCGAGCCCTATATTAGAAAACATGGTGAAAAATTGGTGAATTTCTCATTTATTTTCTAGATTTTTTTGAATTCAACTAGAATCTGTACTATTGAAAATATATATTTGTTTTGATTTTTTTGTTGCGGATAGAATTTGTGACCTGCATCTTATCCGCCAAATAACACCTAGGTGCACGCTCGTTGCCCATCGGCAAAATTCTTGTACCCGGCATATTATGACATATATTTTAATGAAACAATTTTAGAAGAACGTTGAAATATATAACAATGAAACCTGAAAGTTTCGTTTCAATTAAATATTTATTTCCTTCCCTAAAATTCCTCAAAAAAGAGATTTTTTCAAACCTCTAAATCAGGCTACCCCTTTAAGTTGGATGATTTTGCCGATATGTGTTAATATTAGTATTTTATAATAATGTTTCTTCACACTCGGCTGTTCAACTGTTGTAGGCCTATCATGTTATTGAATAATCGTTAAGATCATGAACTCTATCATTAACATTGTAAAAAAAACTGAAAAGCCTGATTCGTTAATTTGTGATAAACGGATTCCCCGATCTTTACCAGAAGCTGATCACCACTATTCCTAATTTTCAAAATGCAGTTTAGCATTTTTGCTAAAACGTCTACATATTTCTGCAGATTCTCAAGAAACAGCTTGGCCAATCGACTCGCAAAACATCAGACATTAATGGGGAGTTCTTAATGAGCTTCATCAAATGGCTTCTAAATTTTTAAAACCGGTGCAGCAGTTGTTCAAAAAATGTAGAGAAAATGTCCAATACTTGCACATACTTTTTCCAATTTCGATGTCAAACGATTCAGAATAACTTAAAGCTCCGAGAATACATGAAATTAGTAAATTGGATTTTCTGGCGAAAACATAAACTTTTTTGTTAATAAATATTACGGTTTAAATGTATATTGTCAACACCAGTCCATTAGTTTAGCTCTTCGATGTATCCCTTTTTTGGTCATGTAGAATGTATGCATTTTCTATCGAGTAATTTTTGTGAATCATTCGTAGAGATTTTGAGTTTCGATTATTAACGACTCTAAATGAATAAGTTCCACTTAAACCTTTAATGTTTTTTATATTGCCAGGCCTTCAACGGAATTCAATTGCAAGGTGCTAAAGATCCATTGTTAGTCAAATTTGCAGACGGCGGTAACAAGAAAAAGAATATGTATAAAAGTCCTGATCCAAGAAGCCAAATGTGGAGGACAGACGTTCCTGATGTTAGCGTGAGTCTTCCATTTAGTTCCCACTTCCTATTAATATTTTTAAAGATGTTGCATTTGTATATTTTAATTTTCAGTATACATCACATCCCGAGTTTTTGTCTCAGCCAGGAATGGCAGTAGGCTACGAACCTGCTCTGGCGCAAAATGGTTCGGCAATGCTTCCATTCAACAGATACGGCCAACCCGGCCAGGGCAATCCAGTAGGAGCTTATAGTCTGCCACAATGGTTACCGCAATACGTCATGCAACCTGCGATGCAATCAATTGAGGTAAGAACTATATTCAGATTATTAAGAATAACAAAAGTCGATTTCGGCATTAAAATATACACACACTAGGAGCAGTATGTGCCAATGCCCCATTTGCAATATAAAGAGGGAGGTGTTGGAGCTCCTGGACGTGGAATCTCCATGGTAATGGGACCAGATGCCGTTGGAGGTCCGATGCAATATTCAGCTGTTTTACCACAATTAACAACTCATGTCTCGGCTCTTCAACTTGGGACTGGCGGATCGGTATGTAAACCAATTTTTAAATTACTTGATTTCAAACCTTATCAGATCAACTATTGAAGTTTACAATTATTTATTACTCAGTATTTTTATGAGGTTTCATTTAAATGTGAATTTCAGATGAAGATTGATCATGCCTAATTTTCTTGTGAATATGAAAACAAAGATATTTGAACTTAGCAACAATAAAAATTTGTGCCAAAATCTTACCAAACCTTATCATTGTTTCGCTGTTTTATAATATGAGTGTTAAATACTAAATATTTGTTTTTCAGTACATCAGCCCTCACCCATTTCAGTACTACCATCCTGGTAGCACTTCCATTATAATGCCAATTCAAGATGCAGAAGCACCAGCCGCATCGTCCCCGGAAGAATCTTATTCATATGTTAACCCAAAATAAAACCTTTTTCTTCTTTAGGTAAGTCGTATGAAATGAAACTTATTACTAAGTTTCTTGAATATACTTAAACTTCACAAATTGATCAAATTCTACTCATTTGACTGATACATGACTGTGTTCCTGGAGACAAAAAGCGTGATTTTTTAGAAACTAAGAATATGAATTATTTGTGAGGTTTAAAATGAAGAAGTGAGTAATTCTTAAGAAATAAAAAATAGTCACACAATGTTTCTGACACAAAATCAAACATGGTACCTAAAACAACACATTCATGCAACATATTTTTCATTCGACACATGATTTTTTTTTTAAAGATTTAAGATTGAATTAAATTTTTATACTTTTTAACTTACGGTCTGTCATATATATATTAGCTCCGTGTTAAGTGCGTATTATGACATTCTACTTTGGGTAAGAAGTTTGTATAAAGTCTTATAGATTAATTTATTTATTGAAGTTTATGACAAATAATAGAGACATTATCAGTATTTTTTTTATTTATATTAAACTATTTTATTTATTTGACCATTACATATACAAATTTATTAATTTATGTTTTATTAAATATTTATTTACTCACAGAAATAGTCATAAAATATTTCAAATTTATATATGCGCTATAAAACTCGAAATATATGCATCTGCATATAAATATACATATGTACAAATGTACATAATATGAAAACTAAAACAGAAAAACTCTTTTTATAACATTAACATTCAACAGGAATCTGTTCCTGATTTTAGAAAGTCATTTAAAACGATAAGCTATTTTATAAATTTTTAGTTGAAAGAATTGGGTTTAAATAAATAAATAATATCTAATAGATACAAACTGTAACATTTTCAAATCTGCTTCACACAATTGCTCAAATCACAATTAAAATTGTATTATTTGCAATTTGTTCTTACTCGAAATTTTTTCATCAAATAAAAATCAGGTCCCCACTTAGTAAAACATGAAACTTTGTGATAGTTTGATCTGAATATGTGTGCATAATTTACAAATTTTAATTTTTTGTTACTATATCGCATTATTTTCAATTATTTCGAAAAAAACTCATATTTAAAAGTATCACAAACCTTTGAAAAATGATACATAATTGTTGGGATATCATTAAAAAAACGTTTATTTGAATGATAAATGCACGATTAAAACTAATATATGAATAGACATATTTATGTTGAAATATTGAAAAATTGAAAAAATGCTTTATTATTAATAATTTTGCATTCCTTCATTATGTTCAATACAATATTTTATAGTGAGGGTCACATACACAAATGTTTTTCATTTTCTTGAATTTATAACACACAGTGCGTGGTCCCTGTATAACCTTGTGATGAACAAAAGCATGTTTATATACTATTTTCAGTTCTTAATTTTACATGTAAATAAATACACAAAAATATATATTTATATTTACATATATAAAAAGAATTTGCAAATAGGATATAAATATGTTTTTAGAGCATCCATATTTCATGTCTAAAAGTCCTAAGCTAAAATATCTTATAATATAGCTAAATGATAATAACAAATTATATTTTATCGTTGCCATAAACTTGCAACACTGGAACATTGTCATTTCAAGACAAGTCATATAAATATACCGATGTTTCGAAGTATGTAAATAAATAGTTTTATATAAAGAACACATTATAATATGTGAACATACTGTAAACAAAAACGGTTTCTCAAATGTATTTTGAATAAAGTTGTGGCTATACTAAGAAATTTGTAGTAAGATTATCCATGTATTACAAAGAGTTTTAAGTTGTTAAGGAAGTGAGTATTAGCTATTTCATAATTGATTCACTTTAATTATCATTATAAAAAATACTGAAAATGTGGACTATTAAATTATACCTCTCTTATTTATATAGTAGCAGACGTAGACAATATTTTTTTTAAAAAATGCTCGTTTTATTGTGAATTTTAACAAATTTTAATCAAAGTATCTTGTCCTAAACATTTTTATTGCTGAAATAGTGTTGATTTCAATGAGAAATATGAAAAGGGAATAAAGAATAAAAAATACACACAATTCCTTAGATCCACGTTAAATTAAGTTTGATTTAGATTTGTGCCTTTTCAAAAAAAAATAAAAGAAAAACTGACTAGATATCAATAAGATTTAATCGAATTATGAATATATATTTTTATGGCAGATTCCTTTTTTACTAAAGTGATATGAGACTTCAATACTAAGGTTTTTCATAATTTTGATTTTAAATAAATTATTAGGTAACTTCCTTATGTAACTTCTTCATGAGTCGGAATGTCATTGTTATCGATAAAGACTATTTTTTATTTGAGTGTATAAATGTTGCTAGTTTAATCAGAGGTGAATGCTTTTTTAGAGTATTTAGCACTTCAGTTTTTTATTATACAAAGTGGGTTTTAAAAGAGTTTTTAAATATTTTATCCAAAACTTTTATATTTTAACGTTTTATATTTTACCTATGATATCTTCAACCAGGTTTTAACATATATTATAAATTTTTGCTTGGAGTTCTAACATTCCAAAATGAATGTGGGCTTGTTATGTCCCTCCGTACAACAGAGTGCAATCTACATATAGCAGTTCTTTACTGTTATATTTACATTATTACGATATGAAATCTTTGTAAATTCAGTTTTAGATGAAATAACATTATTATTTTTCGTAAGGTTGTGGCCTAAATATTATTGCAAATATTTCATATCAAATCAGCTGTAACCAAATATGAGAAAAAATGAAATTATCAAAAAAATTATTTTGACAAATCTGAGATATATTTTATTGCTTAAGTGTTTGTGGATTTTGTTTGATGAATATTATCAATGTTGTTTAACCAAAACTAAATCAAAAATTAAAATTGTAAAAGGATTGTCTTTCAAAAGTCAAAGAAATGTTTAATATCATTGTTAAAGTACAGGGTGCTTCTCACAAGGCGTTTAAGCAATCTCAGTGTTATTTTGTTTGTTCTAGGTGTATGTATTAATTCTCATGTTGTTAAAGTCGAATCATCTGGTTATTTATTTTTCATTATGAACAGAAGGAAATATTTATTATAATTTATATTGACAAAATAGTTATATAGTAATATATTTGAAGTATATATTATTTAAATTGCTGAAATAAAGCAAAATATCATATTCATATGGAAGTAAGTGCAATGAATAAATTACTGAAGTTATTTTTATGCCCTGTACTTACATTAAGAGATGTGTGGAAAACATTGATAAAATGGTGCAAAAGTAACAGCTGTTCAGAAGCTGAATAGTCATAATATAGTTATAGAAGATTAGTTTTAATGATATATTCTAAGTATAGTACATAAGACGTTTATTGGTTCTGTGCTATCTACTGAACAAGTTGGCATGCACCGAATCAAAACAGAAAATATGTGGTGTTCACATATGTTAGTTTGAATAGCTTTACGAAAGGTAATTATAAGGTAACGAGTTAAGGAGATAGATTTTTAGCTAAGGTATTATTAATGTAGGGTTTTGAAATTGATCAAAGTTAAGATATGTATAATATATTTATATAAGGACAAGGTTATGTACTGTTCTAGATTTAGTATAGTAATGTAATAGGGTTTTACAATGAGAGAAATTTACAAATGAAATTTTTTGGCTTTTGATAAGCTTGGAATAGAAGCATAAGCTTTTGTAGTATTAGGCATTGTTAGTTCAGGTTTATTGATAGGGATTTAACATAGGTATAGATTTAAGATTAGTAGATAGCCGATAGGATAATTAAGAATGAAATGTAGATTTATTAGTTTATTTTAGTAACAGATTGATATATTTTTGATAGCTGCATAGGACTGTCATTGTTATATACTATTTAATACATTTTTGTTAAAATAATTTATTTTCTAATGAAAATTGAATGAACGACGGTCTTGTGCAGTAGTTTGTAATATTAAATTCATAACTAAACTGAGATGTTTTGCTTGTTATAGTTTGTATTTAATAGAAGTAAGTTTCCTGTTTCGATAAATTTTGTATTGTAATGAAATCTGTAGCTCGGTAGAATTTGTGTTATGGTGAAATAAAAATGTATTTGTCCATGCAAATTTATTTCAGCCTATCATTTCTCATTTACAGATACATATTTATGAAAACGATAAAAAAAAAGACGATATAAGATGGGTCGCGCTTCATGGTCATGCCAAACTCTTCAATATTAAATTTTTAATTTTATAGTATCTCTTTTATTCATGCTCAATATTGTAAAGAATAATTTAAGACTTACATCAATTTTAATCATAGATACCTGTTAAAAAAAAGAAATATATAATAAATAAATTAAAAATATTTCTTATGATATATAATATATATATATATATATATATATATATATATGTTATTCAATATAACATTTATATATTATATATATAAAAATAATAAAAATATATAATATGACAAATTAACTTATGTTTTGTAAAATGACATGCATTGTCACATATACATGACCACTACAATATATAAAAAAGAAATGCTGATCACAAATCAATTTAAAATCTTCTCAGAAATTGAAAGAAAAGTAGTTTAAAACCAAAATACTATTAAAATATTTTTTACTTCATTAAATAAAATAATCAATATCATTCTATAGATTATTTTACACCAAAAAATCAACTTTTGGGAGCTTTGAGACGTGGTGCTGGAGGAAAATGGACTGATAAGAAGATAAACGAGAAGAAAGTGCTGCTAAGAGTGGAAGAGAAAAAAATGATATTGAATATGATTGTAAGAAGGAACTAAAACTGAATATGGAAAGAGCACATTCTGCAAGATATCATAAGAAAAAAGAGTGGAATTGAAAGGAAAAGAGGTCAAAGAAGTAAGCAGAGCAAATATAATTTAAAACTTCCAGATTAATACAATACATTAACTTTATTGTTACTATTATAGAAAAAAACTGATGACATGAATACAAACTGTGTATATACATAACAAACTGTACATTTAAATAACATGCTATGTATTTTTATTATTATTTACAATATTTAAATAATCACCAATCATCTTGAGGCAACCGATATGTGAAATTGTCACTGCGGATAATATTAATTCCAGCACCATAATAAGAAATTATATATGCTGATCCATCAGCTGGACCAACAGCCTGCAAGGTAAAAACACAATCATGTTAGATGATTAATTATACTCGAGTCTTTCTTTCTATCAATACAAACCTGAGTTGCTATTAATATAATATCAACAAGTTGACCCACAAACATAAAACCTAATGTGCAAAATTTTAAAAGGCCAATTGCAGGATATCCTAGATAAAATCTGTCTATACCAAACATTCCTAAAAATACTGAGAGCAACATTGCAGTATCAAAGTAATATCCATTTCTAAAAAATAAGGAAATTATTATATATTAAATCAATATTCATTTTAAAAAAATGATAAATTGTAACTTACGTCCATTTGCATGGATAATCTTTAGTGAACGAAGCATTTTTTGTTTCCCGACAAATAATACCATCTGCCGCTATACACCACACTAGAATTTAAATTGTATAAATATGATTGAGCATTACACATATTACTTATATGGAACCTTTTCAGACTTACCCTTTGCCTTATTTTCTTTGGTACAATCTCTTGGCTGTTGCGTTTTTGGATCTATATGGTTATAGCTAGGGTCTGGACATAAGTACTGCCCTGTCCTCAAATTATTGCAATCTGTTTCAAACCCCTTGGCATAATAATCTAACATGTATAGAAATGTCATAAACGTAACCAAAAATGTAGACATTTCGTAACATTAAAAGCACAGATATCATTATCATTATAAAAATTCATATAAATTTAACTCGCTTGTTTAAAAAATAGGCATATCACTCATTACAAATATTAGTTTTATTTTTTAATACTCATTTCTTAATAACCATTTAGTTCACTTGGTTGTGATTAGGATATAATTAAAATATCAAAACATAAAAACCTGACAGTATCAGATGACATTGAGCAATTTGACACATACGATACACATTTTAACATGTTAGGTTAGAAACCATAGTGACATCTGTCAACCATAAACCACAGTGAAATCTCACATATTCATATATAATAATTAAATTATTTATTTATTTTCCACTTCTATCATTTTTAAATTGAATATATAAGTTTATTATGCATATAAAATGTATATGAATAACTCTATAAATAATTACACATATACGTTATTCTGAAATAGTTAACGGATTTGTGATTAACGATTTTTTTATAAAGATGGTAACACCAACCGGCTTTCACAAGGTAGACTTCTTCTGTCACTTTTCACTCTTTCCATTTAGTAACAAGTTAGTGGATTTAACTTTTCTTTATTTGGGATTTTGAATTCTAAAATTAAATTTTTAAAATGTTTTGTGCTTCGTGTGACCAGATTATGTTAGGTATATTTATATGACACATTTAATATTATTGACATGATTTACTTCATTTACTTATTTAATAAAACAAAATAAATAATCAGTTATTAATCAAATTCGATTTTGAATAAGTGTAATTAGTTAAAAATATATCTGTATATAGCTTTATATTCATTAGTTTCCGTATACTAGAGTGGGAACAATATTCGGTGAATTCCCCATTTATCTCGTTCTGTGTGCGCTTAAAGTGATATACTTTGATTAGTTCATTTTTATAGAAAGTTTATTTTAGTGATATATTAGTGTGATTAGTGTTAGAAACGGATTAGTGAATATTTTAATAACTGCGATATTTCAATTTTAATGACATGGATGATCAGGACTTTCGAGCTCGTCCATACCAAGTGGACCTGTTGCAAATTGCTATACAAAGAAATACGATTGTATTTTTACCTACCGGGTCTGGGAAAACGTTTATCGCATTGCAAATGCTGAAATATTTATCTAGTGAATTGGAAAAGTAAGTATTAGTCTAGTGATGCAATATTTAATTATAATACTGCACTTTTGATTTTGTTGTATATTGTTATTAGGGTTTATACAAAAACCGACATTTCATAAAACCGGTTTTCGAATTATAAATTTTACAGAAAACCGGTTTTCGAATTTTATATAAAAAATCAATTTTTGATCGAATATTCTTGTAATAACAAAAAAATACCGGCAAATTTAGTGGTATTTTAAAGCAGTTTTTGACTGAATTTATAAAATGTTCAATTTTATGAATAGTAAACATATTTATTAACTTCCCGTAGGGTAAGTTATAGTAATCGTCCAAAAATCGAATTTGAAATTTTTTACATTTTTTTACGTTTTGAAGGTTTCTGAATATTTTGGCATACCTCATAAGAAATGGATGTGTATGTGTGTGTGTATGTATGTATGGATACAATTTTTCGTCCACGTTTTCGGGCGCACGTATCAACCGATTTTAATGGTTCAAAAAGCATTCGATTCCAATTGATAGGGAGATGTGCTGATTAGTTTTTGGCAAAGGTAGGTCCAGCCGTTAAGAAGCAAAGAGTGCAAAAGATACAGATCGAGTTTTTGAGAGAACGGAGTATCCGATTTGAATGATCTAAAAAACATTCAATTTGTAATGATTGGGAGAAGAGATGATTAGTTTTTGACAAAGACAGGTCCAGCCATTTCGAAAATCCAGAGCTAAATGTGCAAAAATGTCAGTTTTTGGGAGAACTAAGCGTCCGATTTGAATGATTCAAAGAACTTTCTGCTTGTTTCAAATAATTGATTTTGAAAAAAAAAATGTTTCTATTTTTTTTTTTTTCAAGAATTTTTTTTGTATATCGAAAATAATTCAGATTTTAATTTTAATTCTGTCTAAAGTTCTAATATACTTTAAACAAATAATTTCAACTTTGCAATTCAGTTTATATAATTCTTATAAATATTAGACAATGTTACAATTATTGTAATAATCTATTTGAAAACATTTAATATTCCCCGAACATTTCGTTGCGGTACGGGAAGTTCCAGTAATTTGCCTTAAGACAGGATGCCATATACCAGTAGTTTCAATTTTAATTAGTAGAATAAAGAAAAAATAGTTGATCTGAATTAAATAACTTTGAAAATGATTATCCGTTAATCATGCATCATTTTATAACATATGAGAATGTAAATATTTTTATGACAGTAAAAGAAAAGAATTCGAATAAATAAAATAATAAATTTTTAAATAAAAAACTTTTAACTTTCTAGTGTTAAATAAACAAAAATTTGATACATATTAATACTTACTTGTTAATGTCAATTTTAATTCTAAAAACAATTAAACAAAACCCCAAGTTTATTCTATTCCGAACAATTTTAATTAAATTCAAATATTTAATTATTTTTTGGTTTAATGAAATATGATTGCTAAAATCTGAGGACGTCTATCGATTTGTTATTTAGAAGTGTCTTTTGTTTACTCCCAAATTTTCCAAAATAGAAAATATTCTCTCACTTTGGCAACCGAACTAGGCTAAATCGTTTTTAAAGGATGATATAATAATTCTGAAAATGTTAATTTTTTATTTGTGGCTTCTAAGGCTAAAATCTCTTTTTTTTTAAACTCGAGTAGAGCAGTTCACTCCTTCAGCAAGAAGTCGCATTGATATAATAATTTATATTAATATATACATTAAAGAAAAGATAACACAGAATATTTCTGAGAACTATAACAGACTGATAGGATTCCAAATTTTATCGAACCGATATGATTCCAAGTATCAAAAGGTTCCATCCATTTGTCATTTTTAACTTCCCGAAGGAGAAGTTTAGTTTTCATCAAAAAAATCCGATTCGCTAATTTTATGTTTTCTCGACGTTTCAAGCCATTCTGAATCGAATGAGACCAAATTTGGAAAAAGTATGTGTGTGTGTGTGTGTGTATGTGTGTGTGTGTGTGTGTGTGTGTGTGTGAACAGATTTTTTGCCGTAAATCAAACCGTTTTCTCAAAACGGTTCGACCGATTTACAAAATTGAAACGCCATTCGATGTATCTCGATGAGGACTAGCGTTTCTGAGTTTTGTGCGACGATCGTCCAAGCCGTTTCTTTATAAATAGCAGAAAGGTAAAAAATTTTTCGTCTACGTTTTAGCCCGCAATTCTGAATCGATTCTAAAAATTCAAAAACCATTCGAAAGATGTTGGTTGGGAATCGTGCTGATTAGTTTTTGGTGAAGATCGGCCGGGCCGTTTTCTTGTAATAAAGTTTAAAAAAAAATTCGACGATTTTTATGATTTTTTTGACGGTAGATATCATAGTCTTCTAGATCATACTAAAATATTACCGCCCTACGACAACTCGATTAGCTTTAAAAATTCGTCAAAGTTTGCAAAAATTGGTATCGTTTTTTTGGCATTTGTCAAAATTAGACCTTTCATCGACGTTTTTGCTCAAAACGCCCGAACCGATTTCATAAATTTAAAAGCCATTCGATGTATCTCAATGAGCACTATAGTTTGTCAGTTTTGTGAGACGATCTGCCGAGCCGCTTCTTTATAATTTGTAAAAGAGTGTTAAACTTTTCGTCCACATTTAAGCTCATTCTACCGAATCGATTTTAAAAAAACAAAAACTGTTTGAAAGATATTAGTTGGGCATAAAACTGATTAGTTTTAGGTGAAAATCTACCGAGCCGTTTTCTTGTAATTAACTGTTGAAAAAAAAATTTAAGCCGATTTTTATGAAACTTTCTTTGGCGATGTATATCATGGTCTTATAGAACTTACTGAAATATTACGGCCTTACGACAAGTAGTTTAATTTTAAAAATTCATCAAGTTTGAGAAAATGAGTAGTTTTGTTGACGTTTGTTAAAATTAAAATTAGATGATTTACTTGGTATAAGGATAGATTACTTGGTCTTAATGAACATACTAAACCATTAACGTCCTACGAAAACTGGTTAAATTATAAAAATTATTGATTTGTGAAAATTTGCTTTTAGAAAATACTCCGAGTTTTAACGTGTTCGTTCGTTTTCAATTATGTGTAACAAATCCTCTCGGAATACTTGTAATCACTCATAAATTAATTTGTTTATTGATTAAGTCGATTATTTACACATTTAGGGAAGTTCATGTAACTTGCCTCAAGGCTAAACACCAATACCAACTAGTTCATTTATACAGTAACAACCGATTTTCCGCCAAAAAAACGGTTTTCGAATTTCATAATTTTCGTCAAAAAGCCGGTTTTTGAAACCTAACAAACCCTAATTGTTATTATATAAATGCACTATGTCAATTGTACCAAAACAACATTACAATTACTAACACAGTAGAAAAAATTGCGAATTACTATTTTCGCGGTTGAAAAAAATTTGGATCGGATACATATGTTTATTGTTTACATTCGAATACAATAGTTTGTTTGTAAATTCACCTTACGAGAAAGACTTGACAGCAAAAATGTTACAAGAAATATTGGTGTCGTGTGCACTGTTTTATTTTGAAAACAGTTTCCGCTTGTAAGCTTTCAATAAAAATGAATTCAATTAAAATTAATATCTTTCCAACAGATTATCAGTTTTTGTTTGTTCAGACAGAATACACACTTGAAGGTCCTCAAAGCGCGACCTATTATTCTAAGGGGGCGTCCATTAATCACGTGATCGATTTTTTAAGGATTTTTTGGACCCCACCCCCCACGTTGATGATACGTGGCGATGTTCAAAAATTATCCCTCCTTCTCCACCAAACATAACGTGTATTTTTAGTTACGAGAAAAATTGTAAAATTTTCGATTTTTTTTCAACGTTTGGATTTAAAAAAAATCAGGTATAAAATAAATACATGTGATATCTTACTAAACCCTCCCTCCCCCACGTGACATTTTGTGAGTTTTTTGTCAAAACCCCACCCTTTTCCTCTAAAAACCTCACGTGATTAATGAACGGCCCCTAAACATACATTTTTATAATTTCATTTCAATTTCAATTTAATTAACTTTTCGTATGATGATGGTTGTTTAGGGCTTCAACTCTATCGCCATTTTAAAATTTCATTAAAAACGCAAAAAAATGTATTAACATTTAATTTAGAAGAAACGGATCGTTGCCATAAATCAATCAACACGATCCTCTACTGAAATGTGAAATGTTCAGAATTTTTTTGCGAAAACGTGCAATATGAAGAAACCAATCGTAGCGCAAGTCATTTGGGCTTTTAAATTTTTGAAATCGGTTCAGTCGATTTTGAGAGAACGTCGGCAAAAACCATTTGGCTCATACATATACCTTTTCCAATTTTGTTCCCAAACGATTCAAAATCACTATTTCGAGTAAACTAATAAACGTCATACAGTCCAGTCATTATAGTAATTTCAATTCGAAATTCGAGATACCCAGCTGTAAGTCTATAAATACTTGTATATTGACACCTCACCATATAATGTAGGTTTTGAGACAACTTTAGGGTGTCAATATACAAGTATTGACGGACTTAGAGCTGGGTATCTCGAATTCCAAGATTCTTACCTAATTTAAGCTTAAATGACTGCAGTCCATGGACTATCAAAATATTTTTAAAAAATACTTTATTATATAAAATAATTTATATAATTCTATAGATATAATGACTGGACTAATAAGTTGTTGTATTGGGGTATCTCTTAGACTCAAATTTTATGTAAACTTTGAATTTTTTTTAAATTTTAAGTAATGCATTAGCATTATTAGAGGAATATCCTCAAAACCCTGCCGAGAGATCTGTTTAATTATGCTAAAATTGATAACAATATATTTATTTAATTTATATTAGTTTTTTCTCGAAACAAATCTCCAATTCTTACAAATTAAATTTTGTCAATCTGTTCATATATTTATAAAATAATAATGTAATTGCTTTAAAAATGCTACTTTTTTGCATTAATTGTTTGAAATAATATAATCTGTTGACTTTAATATTATCATTATCAATGTAATATCGTCACAAGAAATAATATTGTTGAGATATTTTTATAATTCATATGTTATTAATAATTTTATATTTTATTTTATTTAATTTTTTATTGTTTGATATCAATTTTATATGTTTAGGTAAGAAATTTACTAGATTACATTTATTTATACATTTTAGCTATGCTTTCAAATTTCATTTTTGCTTGAATTCAATAAATAATGTATTATTTTATATTTCTATACATATATTATTTTTATACTATATCATTTAAATAAATAATGATATATCATATAAATAATAATTGTTTATTTACAGGAGTCTTGACAGTGGAGGTAAGAGAAGTATATTTTTAGTAAATACAGTGCCTCTCGTTGAGCAGCAAGCAAAATTTATTAAAAGCCAGACGTTTATAAAGAATGTTGGGGAATATACTGGTGCAAAAAATGTGGATAATTGGACTAGAGAAAAATGGCTCAATGAGTTTAACCAGCATAAGGTAATAATTTTATGATACTTGGCATATAGAGGAAATATGGATATAATGGTTTTAATGTATGAGCTAGGCAGATATCGAGTGTCATTGCCACGAAAAAGTTTATTTTGAAGGTGATTTTCTTTCACTTTTGAATCATACATACTTATCCAATCATACTATTTTGTAAGAACTACAGTGTAGTCATTTGAGGCTAAGAAAGAAGAAAATTGAAGCCTATTATTAGATTTTAACTTTTACTCTGACTACTCCTAGAAGCAGACCAAAGAATCAACCGATAAAAAGAATAGACTTGCATTTATTGCAAAGACTTTTTTTCCTATTCCAAGCCCGGAAAGGTTAGATTACAATGTTTCTTTTGGGCATATGCATAAAGTGCTGATATCCCAAAGAATATGTTTGTGAACTATGTAAAAATTAGTATCTCAACATGTCTTTACTCTATATCATTTTGTCTGTACTATATAGACAAAATGGTATTTGTAATTACTTGCAGTTTTCCTTAATAAATATATTATTATAGTTCCTACTTAATTAAAATACTATGTTACTGATAGTCAATGAACCAAAGATCAGCAAAAACGATTTAGAGTGGTTATATCATTAAAAAAATAAATATCATTAAAAAACAAAACACTATGCCATTCAGTCTGTAATTCCCCTACTAATTCATATAATATATATGGTAATATATTTATTAAAAATAAATTCTTAACAAAAGTATAACCCTAGTATTAAAATTCTGATGGTTTTACAAAAATCAACATGTCGACAACATATTGTTTTTATTATTCTCTCTCAAGTCAACTCCTGTTGCTACATATATTAAATATTTTAGCAAATATATATATTTGTATATATATATATATATATATATATATATATAATATAAAATTGCACATATTGATAAATATACGATTTGTTCACATTTTTGAAAGTCTTTAACATAATTTTCTTACAGGTACTCGTGATGACAACTCAAATATTAGTTGATGTACTCAATCATGGTTATTTGTCATTAAGTAATATAAATTTAATTATAATGGATGAATGTCATCATACAATAAAAGAACATCCAATGCGTCAGCTCATGTTGTTTTATAAGAATCGTAGAGATGAAAACATAAGTTTACGAATTTTGGGTAAGAATTTTTTATCTTAAATCAAATTTTCTACTATAAATTGAATTATTATAAGAAACAAAATGAAGTATGGTGATTCAAAATATATTTTTGTTTTCATTCTAGGGTTGACAGCATCTTTAATAAATTCAAATTGTAAACCTCATAACGTGGAAATAGAAATAAATACTTTAGAAACCTCAATGGGATCCACTATAGCAACTATTGATAATATGGAAAGTGTATTGGGGTAAAATGAATTAATTTTAATAATTTCAATTTTAGTAATAACAAACACTAATTTCAATCAAATTTTAGATTTTCAGCAAATCCAAGAGAACGAATAGTATTTTATGATAATCAAAAAACACCACAAATAATAACAGATTTGATAAGTGAATTGAGTGTTACTACAGACAAATTTGCCATATTACAACATGGGAAAGTTATTCCAGAGCATGAATCTATGGTGTACATGAGAGGAGGATGTAAAGATGCTCGAAAAACAGTATGCAATATGATTAGAGATTTTATTGAAGATATGATAACCCTGGGGCCATTTGGTGCCCATGAATCTGTTAAAATTCGTCATTTAGAAGTAGAACAAATGAAGAGGGTAGCATCAAACAGACAAGATGCTATGTTATATTCTCAATTAATTACTGTGTTTATGTATGTAAAAAAAAAATTAAGAGCGTATATGGAGTCACAAGGTGCTGTAGAACAGATTTATCAAAATTCTACTCCCAAAGTATTGAAATTAATTGAGGTTATTAAAGAGTATTCTCCTAAACAAAATAATAAGAAGCTTCCCCTAAAGGCAATAATTTTTGTACAAAGGAGATTTACGGCAAATATGCTTTATCAAATTTTCAAAGCATTATCTAGAGAGTGCAACGATTTTAATTTTATTCAACCAGAATTTGTAATTGGTATGTCCAACAGAGGAATGATTCAGGGAATAGAGAGTGCTTTGGATCGTAAATGGTGCAAAAAAGCACTAATCAAATTCAGATATGGTGAGTTATATCTATTTATATTCAAAAACTAATTCAACTGTTCAAATAGTTGTTTTAAAATAATGTAATTCTTACAGGAGATGCAAATTTGCTAATTGCATCAAATGTATTGGAAGAAGGTATAGATGTGCCAGAGTGTTCACTTGTTGTGAGATTTGATTCCATTCAGAATTATTGTTCATATACACAATCTAAAGGCCGAGCAAGAAGCAAGGATAGTGAATTTATAACATTAGTTTGCGCTGATGACAAAGACAAATTTATGACAAAATATTATCAATTTAAAGAAGTTGAGAAAAATTTATTGCATGTGAGTATCTTGTAATGTAATAATAGAAAGTAGAACACTTATAAAAATATTTGGAAATAATATGATCTGTTGACTTTATTGTTATCATGATCAATGTAATATTGTAACAAGAAATAATGTAGTTGAGATTTATGTTTATCCATAAATAAAAAGAATATTTGAGCTTTACAATTATCAAAGCTCATTATCAATACAGGAGGACCCAGACTTTTACGTCAAGCCAACATAGGGTGACAGTATGGACCTTACTCACAATTACAGTTCCAAAGTTTGAATAAACAAAATTCGCAAAAATTAACCACAACTAGCTGTAAGTGGAATTCTGACTTAAGGCAATTAAGGCATTGTGCCTTAAGGCAAATTGCTGTAACTTTCCGCACCAAAAATTATTATTTTTTTTAAAAACAATTAACATTTTTGAAAAATTTTTACTTCGAAAAAAATAAGATTTTTGAGAAACTATAAATTGGACAAATAATTACTTTTTTTTGAAAAAAATAAATTAATTTTTTTTTTGAAAAAAAAGGGTTTTCTTAATTTTGACATATTTTGGAAGATCTGAACTTTTTTTCAAAGCAATCGTACTGCTTTAACCGCATAGACAAAATATAAAGCGCGTAAGCGCCGCGCCGCTGTCTAACGGATAAACATAGGAATGTAAACAAAATTTATACTTACTGTTGAAATTTCTATAAAATATCTGATAATTTAATGTTCATATGTCTAATGATCATTTTTGACCGCCAAATGGCATTTTTTTTTTACTTTTTTTGTTAGATCTCCGAAACCGCTATACCTGCCCTTATGAAAATTTGATCAATTCTTCATCTTGTAAATACAAGTAAAATATTTTTTGAATTATTAAAATCGGACGCTCCGTTCGCTTAAAAACTGAGATACCGTTTTTGGCACTTTTTGCCCCATATCTTCGGAACGGCTAGACCTGCCTCCACCAAAAACTAAGCAGCACGTCTCCTTATCAATACGAATCGAATGTTTTTTGAATTATTCAAATTGCTTCATCCGTGTTCCCGAAATCGTCGACGAAAATTTGTATCCGCAGATACATACATACACGCACACACACACATACACACACATACATCCATTTTTTCTAAGGTATGCCAAAATATTCAGAAACCTCTAAAACGTAAAGATATATAAAAATTTTCATTTTCGATTTTTTTGCGATTACTATAACTTACCCTACGGGAAGTTAATAACCAAATAATGGTCATAATTGCATCAAAGCTCTAGAGTCTAGGTTAAACTGAAGCTCATAATTTCCAAAATATGTGAGATATTTTTTTCTAATTTTTTTCAAGACAGTTTAGGCCAATATTATCACCCCGTTTCGGCTTGACGTCAAGTTATAGGATACACTGTAAATATATATACTGTGATACGGTACAACTGGTACTTTGACATACGAGTTTTCGATCCATATGCACGCTCGTATCTCGAAATTTTTTCTATACAAATACATTGCAATGCCATTAATTTGTTCCAGCGCTATTCTTTAACTTTCCGAAGGAGAAGTTTATGTTTTGGTCAAAAATTTCGGAAAAAAGTGTTAAACTTTTCGTCTACATTTAAGTTTATACTGCCGAATCGATTTTAAAAAATCAATAACTGTTTGAAAGATATTAGTTGGGAATGATGCTGATTAGTTTTAGGTGAAAATCTACCGAGCCGTTTTCTTGTAATTAACTGTTGAAAAAAAAATTTAGACCGATTTTCATGGAATTTTTTTGGCGATATATATCATGATCTTATAGGACTTACTGAAATATTACGGCTATACGACAAGTAGTTTAATTTTAAAAAATCATCAAAATTTGAGAAAATGAGTAGTTTCTTGAAATTTGTTAAAATTAAAATTAGACGATTTATTTGGTATAACGATAGAGTACTTGGTCTCAATGAACATACCAAACCATTAATGTCCTACGAAAACTGGTTCAGTTATAAAAATTATTGATTTTTGAAAATACTCAGAGTTAACGTGTTGGTTTGTTTTCAATTGTGTAATAAATCCACTCAGAATACTTTTAATTACTCATAAATTAATTTTTCTATAGTAAGAATCTCTTGTAATAATTTACAATTGATTTGTGATTACATGATTCATTATTAATTTACCTATAATTTACAGTTGCTAGTTGGCAAAACCAATGAAAGAATTGCGCCTTCTCTAGATGATTTTGAGGATCCAATTATTCCTCCTTATGAAACAGATCAGGCACAAGCAACACTTTTATCTGCAATTTCTCTAGTCAATCGTTACTGTTCTGCACTTCCTCAGGATATGTTTACTCATCTTACAGTCAATTACTTTCGAGAACATAAGGTTATAGGTAATTTTACTAGATATCGTGTGATGTTACAGTTTCCGATTATGTGCAAGCTACGTGAAGGAATTATGGTAAGTAACAAATTTTATTCTTTTTAATTATTTATATATTATTCATATTTCAATAGATTTCTTACTGTTTGGTTGCACAGATAAAATTGTGTGTTTATTCAAACTTAATGCCATGTGCCTTTGCGGTTATTGATTATAATTAATTTTTAACTATGGCAATATTGTAATAAATATTCATTAAATGAATTTTATTATAAGTAACCCTTCTGGCAAATCTATGAAATAAGAAAAAATACAAAAATATACGAAAATTTAATTTCTCACATTATAGAATTTATTGAGTACTGTTTATTTTTACATGTTGAAAAAAAAATAACATAAGCGAATGCAATAACATTAACATTAACAAAGCTAGCTTTAAAAATTAATAGAACACATATTTCATAAAAATTTAAATGACTCCAGAGTGATTGGATGACTTCTATAAAAAATGCCAAGCGACATGCAGCCTTATGTGCGGTTAAACTTCTCCACGAAACTGGAGAATTAGATGACCATTTGATGCCCATAACTAATCGCAAACTCAATGAAATGAAGGAGTTGCATGGTTACTTTGACCATTGGTTAAGAAGTGAACCAACCCACGATGCACAAGGAAATTTTCTCAGTAAACCTGGAACAAGAGGACGATTCAGACTTCATAACAGAATCATACCACTAGATTTGAAACGTTGTGGGCCTGTTGCTGACAATGATGTGTATTTACATGTTCTTGAAATATCTGCAGACTACAGCAAACCATCAGAGTTAGATAACAGAGCTTTGAAGTTTTATAATATGCTCAATTCCAAACAAACTTATGCTTTTCTATCTTCTAAACCATTTCCTTATTTGTGTGATTTTCCACTCTTCCTGAGCGTTGGAAGATTGCATGTTAAGCTCCGTATGAATCATGGCTTCTTGAGTTTAACAAATAATGACATAAAAAGGATAAGATTGTTTAATGTGATGCTCTTTAAAGATGTCTTACAAGTATTAAAAAGTTTTTTGATTTGTGATACTTTAGATGAAGAAGTGTCATTATTGGTTTGTCCAGTTGATACAAATTGGAATATAGATTGGCAAATTATAGACAGTTTTCCTGAATTAATAATACCGGATGCTCCTACACACCAACAAAGAAAGGAAATGGTTATAGATCCTGAAAATTACAGAGATGCCATTGTTGTACCTTGGTACAGAAATATTACTTCTAAAACTGTAAGTATTATTACAAACTTATAAGTAATATAAACTTACAAAATTGCATAATATCCATTTCTTTTCAGATATACATTGTTACTAGAGTGTGTGAAGAAATGTCTCCCCTCTCGAATTTTCCAACTGAATCTTATGATACATACAATTCATATTTTCGAGACAAATATCACTTAGAAGCCTGTCATATGAAGCAACCTCTCTTAGAAGTTAAACCATTTTCTTTTAATAAATTGAACTGTCTCAAACCAAGGTAAAGCAATTCATTTTATTACATATTGTAGTTTTATTATAGATGATAAACTGAAATAATCTATTTGCACATAGTTAGAAGCTCCTAACATTTCAATTGTAACATAATCTTAAACTTCTCACTATCTAAGTAAAACAGATTTAATAGTAATTTAGTTAATGTACATAATTTTATATACATGGATTTATATTTCTATTGAAGCCTACTACTCAAATGTTTTTTTTTTCAAGTATTTTCTTATTTTTTTATAAAAATATGTAATTATAAAATTTTCTGTTTGAATCTATTTCTCTTATATGCACATTCATGAAGCTTATAACATAATCATATATCTCCAGAACATACAAAATATTAGTTTATTAGGTTTAACAACGTTTTTTGAATAATTTTTCAGGGCTAGTAAAAGCAAGAAATATTTCAATATTGACTTGGATAGTTCTGCATTCGATGAGCACCTTGTGCCTGAATTCTGTGTGATAATAAAATATCCTGCAATTTTGTACCTAAAATCGGCTTTATTACCCAGTATTTTTCATCGTTTTTTATCTATGATGAGAGCCCGGGAGTTAATTAATATTATTAATACAGAATTAAATCTCTCTGAACCATGTAAGTTTTTATGGTATTTGTCACCTAATTATATATTATAATTAGTTTAGTATAACTTTTTGATATTATTTCGAATGAAAATTCAAAAAATTTATTTCACTTAATTATGTAACATTTTAATACATTAATATTAATAATGCTCGTTTTCTTATGCTCATGTATCTAGTGTTTACAACATCTGTTCATTTACACTTTGTGTTTCTGAACATTTTGTGGTTATTGTTGATCGGATATGTGACAATTCCTCTATTTAGAACTTTTAATATTAGATATGCCTACTATAGATTTATACAATTGGAACAACATATTTACTATAAAAATGTTTTTACGGAAATGTTTAAATTAGATTTTGACAAAGATCAGCTACCCGCCGTTTCTTTGTAATTGATTTTTAAAATAAAAACCCGACGATTTTAATGAAAATTAGTATGGCGATAGAGTACCAGCTCTTAATAGTTCTGCAAAAGTATTTATTTATAAAAATAAACTAGTGGTGTATGGCATCGTGCCTTAAGGCAAATTGCTGCAACTTCCCGCACCAAAAAATATATATTTTTAAAATGATTCAAAAAAATTTTAATTTATAAAAACATATTTTTGAAAAATTTTAATTTTTTGAAAATAATTGATTTTTTTTTGGAAAAAGAGACTTTTCAAAAAAAAAAAGTTTTTTTTTTTATTTTGAAGTATTTTAGAAATTTTGAATTTTTTTCAAAGCAATCACACTGCTTTAGCTGCATAGAGACGATATATCGAAGCGCGTAAGCGCCGCGTCGATAATTCAGCTAACTTATCAAAATAATTTTTTCAAAATATTTTCAGCATTAAAGTTTTCTTATTTCTTTTACGTATGATGTGTGATTCTGAACGATATTATACTTTCCAGATTTTAAAACCTCTCCAATTGGATGTCGGATAGAACTAATGCATGATCCGGAAGAGCCAGATTCTTCAAGTAAATGTAACAACCAAGCAGTTAATTTGGACCAAGCCAGTGATAGTAGTTCTAATTATAGTCATGATTCAGACATTATGGATTTTTTACCGAAATTAGATAGTAAAGATCTTACTAACTATGATTTTGAAATTCAAAAATTAAACAAAGAATATGATTGGGATGTTTCTATTGAACCGGTAGATTTTCATCGCAATGCTGATGATACATTGAAAGTTGACATGGATTACTATTACAAATTTGTAAAAAATAAAATTGATGATAATATTGAAACTGAGAATAATGTTCCTTTAGGAATTGATCATCAACAATTGGCTATTTGTTATGAAGATACTGTAATTCCTTTAGCAATGTTAAATGAGCACTCACAAATTGTGGAATTGAAGGATATGTTAGCTGTTCTAACAGCTAAAACAGCGAATGATTTATTTGATTTGGAACGTCTAGAAACTTTGGGTGATAGCTTTTTAAAATTTGCCGTAACCCTATATCTTGCTGACAAATTTCGAGATTTGAACGAAGGTCATCTGACAAGTTTTAAAGGACAGATTATAGGGAACAAAAATTTAATGTATTGCGGTTTGAATAAGCATTTGGCTGGTTATATGAATATCTATGAATTTGCTCCTTGTGCTGATTGGATACCACCTGGGTTTACCCTCTCCAAAGATCTTAAAACAAATTTGATTAATAGAGATGTATCAGCAGAAATGTTATACGGACAACAAATACCAAAGGAAGAAGTGCTATCTGGGGTATTATCTCCTCAAACTTTGAAAGCAATGCTCACCGCACTGAACGAAATATGCGAGGACTCTACTGAATCAAATACTAATACGTTGCAAAATTTAGTTGGAATGTTAAATGTTTCTGATAAGACCATAGCCGATTGTATTGAAGCTTTAATAGGTCAATATCTTTTGTCTCACGGTGTTAATACATGTTTATCATTATTGGCGTTTTTGAAAATTTTGCCTTACTCGGATGAATTAGTCCATCTCATGGAAAGCGAAGCGATTCCTGCTAAATTAAGCAATGAAATTACGGAAAGTGATATAGATTATTTCATACCGGGTTACGCAACTTTGGAAAAATCTTTAGGTTATCAGTTTAAAGATCGGTCTTATTTACTTCAGGCTCTGACCCACGCATCTTATTCTATGAACCGGCTCACTGACTGTTACCAGCGTTTAGAGTTTGTCGGAGATTCTATATTAGATTTCTTGATAACAGGTCATATATATGAGCATTGCGGTCTATTATCGCCTGGTGAGCTTACTGATTTACGCTCAGCCCTAGTCAATAATAACACATTTGCAAGTCTTACAGTCCGATATGGATTTCACGAGCACATATTATCGTTAAGCCCCAGTCTGGCCGATTCAATTAATAAGTTTGTTTCATTTCAAGAACAGAGAGGACACAAAGTAGATTTGGAACTACTTCATCTTTTGGAAGAGGGAGAATGCTCCGTAGTGGAGAGTGTCGACGTTCCAAAAGTTCTAGGGGATATTTTCGAGTCTCTTGCCTGTGCCGTTTTCTTTGACAGCGGTAAAAATTTGAATGTTGTTTGGAACGTATTCTCTAAATTGATGAATAATGAAATCAAAATGTTTTCGAAAAATGTACCGAAACAAATTGTTAGGCAATTATATGAGACAAATTGTAAGCCAAAGTTTGGGGACACTCTATTACCCGATAAATCTAAATGTGTAGCAATTTCTTTGACATTTAGTCACGAAGGAAAACTGCACACCGTTTATGGCGTCGGAGTAAATAAACAGAACGCGAAAAAAGCTGCTTCTAAAATGGCTCTTCAAATGATGGGTCGTCATTAAGTACTATAAGTACCAAAATGGCGTAAAGTATAAATATTTATTAAAATTGATAAATAAATATTTATACAATAAACTTGTTGACTTATAAATATTGAATTTATTAGATATTAGATACATTAATATTTACCTATAAATATAGAGAACTGAATTTATTTTAGATACATTTTTATACGTATACAGTTCTAATCCAATTATGATAAAGTATAAAATGCATGACGTTTAATATATATATTTGTTATCAATAGTTCCTGAAGAAGAGGATGATTCTTATCCTGGACACGTAAAAAGAATTAAAAGTTCACAAAATCAAACTCATAAATAATCGCTATTCACAAAAATCCATATATATATATATGTATATATATATATATATATATATATATATATTCAATAGATAAGTCCTGGATTTTTTCAATATATTGATTGTTTCTTTTCCGAACAGTAAATCCAATAATAAAAAACAATTTGTTTTTTGAAGATGTTTAATACGACGTTTCGGAACTAGGTACATAATCCATTCCTTTATAACAAAATTTTTTTCTAATTAATCTGTATTGACCATTGTTAATTAATGTTAATCAGTATTTTAAAAAACATTGTATTTGACAGAATAAACCTGATGATGGAACGTACCTAGTTCCGAAACGTCGTATTAAACATCTTCAAAAAACAAATTGTTTTTTATTATTGGATTTACTGTTCGGAAAAGAAACAATCAATATATATATATATATATATATATATATATATATATATATGTATGTATAGCTTCGAACAAAGAATCCAAAAAGTAATAAAAAACAAAAAAGTTTTTTAAAAAAACATTTCTTTATTCATTTACTGTCGACGTTTCGGAACTAGGTACGTTCCATCTTCAATAATTTCAACAATCAACATTTGTCAACAAACATGATCTTGATAAGAGTTAAGCAAACATATATGATGGAGTTTTTATATATAAAATGAATAAAATTGTTGAAAAAATAATATACAGAAATATGACAATATAATCAAAATGAAAATGATAAAATTAAATGAGTGGATTATATAACAAAATATTCAAAATGTTAAAAAATTAGTTTTAGAAAGTTTTAAGAAAAGGTTACTGAAAAAACAGAATTAATTACCTGTAGATGGAACGTACCTAGTATCGAAACGTCGACAGTAAATAAATAAAGAAATGGTTTTTAAAAAACTTTTCTGCTTTTTTGTTTTTTATTACCTTTTGGATCCTTTGTTCGAAGTTCTACCAGATATTTACAAATTCAAGACTCTACCATCTAATATATTTATATATACATATATATATATAATATATATATATATATAATGAATTTGAATAATGTTATATGTGTATATATATATATATATATTATATATATATATATATATATATATATATATATACATACATATTATAACATTATTCAAATATTTAAAAAATAATAATGGGCTTGAAAAGAGCTTAAATTTTAAATGTTTAACTTCAAGTTAAATATTCTTTATTTGAGAAAATTAACCAGTGTTCTTAAATTGAGACTAGTCTTGATGAAATTATTTATAATTATTTTCACAAGAAGCCAATGAAAATAATTTCCTATTTAATTTTTTTTTTATATAGGTTTTGAGTACTTTTCTTTCTTTTTATTAATTTAATTGCTATTATGCTATTAATTTTTTCAGGTAGAATACTAAGGAAATATAATTATGAGAGTAGGCATATTAAGTGACTGTTTTGTTATTGAATGTTCTAAAAAATTATCATTTAAAAAGAAGTTAATTTTATTATTATGCACTAGATATTTTTTTAAAATGATAAACAATTATGTCCAATAATATTAATACAATAATCCTGTCAAGAGATACTAAAATTATATTTAATAGTTAAGATGGTTTATATTGTAATATAAAATATATTTCTAAATAAAATTTATAGTTTTTCTATAATTAATTATCACACACTTTTTTTTAATGATTAGAAGTTAAAAAACAACATATGATGCACTAAGTAAAATTAATAAACTAATATATTTGTATTTAAATTTTATGCTATGAATAATTAATTTGGGGTTTTCAACTTCAAAGCTTTATGATCTTTCATAATATTTTGATTCAAAAAAGTTTAATAATGAAAGACTAGATTTTTTTGCATGATTTGCTCAATAAAGTAAATGGCATACAATTCCCAAATTAAATTAGTAAAATGTTTGAAAACCAAAATATCAATATTACACATGCATTAGAAACAAATAAAAATTTAAACATATTCTGGCAAATAATAATAAACTAACTGAAATTTATGAATGTCAAAAATAGTTCGTTTCAACAAAAGAAGTATTTATAAGATATAGTTGATTTTTTGGAAAAACAGGTCTAGCGGTTTTGGAGATCCAATAAAAAGGTTAAAAAATGCAATATAGTGGCAAAGAAAGATCATTAGGCATACGCACATCAATTTGTCAAATTGGAAACCAACCATTCAATAATTATTAACTTCCCGTAGGGTAAGTTATTGTAATCGTCCAAAAATCAAAGATGAAATTTTTTACATTTCTTCACGTTTTGAAGGTTTCTCAACATTTTGGAATACCTCAGAAAAAATTAATGTGTGTGTGTGTGTGTGTGGGTGCGGATACAAATTTTAGTCGACGATTAAGAGGACAGGGATCGACCGATTTGAAAAATTCAAAAAACATTTGATTTGTATTGATAAGGAGACGTGCTGATTAGTTTTTGGCAAAGGCAGGTCTAGCCGTTCCGAAGATATCAAAAGATGCCAAAAACGTAACTCAGTTTTCAAGAGAAGGGAGCGTCCGATTTTAATAATTCAAAAAACATTTTATTTGCATTGACAAGATAAAAAACTGATTAAATTTTTGGGCAGGCAGGTCCAGCGGTTATGAACTCTCAATAAAAATAAGTTAAAAAAATGTCATTTGGCGGTCAAAAATGTTTATTGGACATATGTACATCAAATTATCAGATATTTTATAGAGATTTTAATAATGTGTTTACACATAACTTAAGTTTGAAAACTTAGTTTGAAAGTAATCACCCCCCCCCCCCGTCCTGGATTAGCATAACTAAAAATTACCGTCCCGGATTTGACTTGAAAAAATATGGTCACCTTTGTGGTCACTTTTGTTCAATATTCTTCACAATTATTTAAAAATAATTAGCACTCAGGTATTCCAGGCAGTTAAGAAATTCATTTTCATGTTTGTTTGTTAATTTTAGTAAAATTTCAAATATAAGTTTAATATTATGAATGTGAGATGAGGCTATTTTAATCCGCCTTTTTCATACAAGCATACTCTTTGCACATAACATTTTCAGATATTTCATGGGTAGTTGTAATTTTATTATCAAGTAAGAGCGAAGATTTAATTTAGACCTATACTTTTCGAAAACCCGGGACAATCCGGGACAAAAGATCTAAATCCGGGACAAAAATTGCTTTTAAAAAACCCGGGACACAAGGTACCGGGACTGTCTTGGCCAAACCGTAACCGGGTCACCTTACCTTAAGGCATGATGCCATGCACCCCAGTAGTTTCAAATAGTATTTTGGAAGCAACTGTAAGAAGGGCCATGCCTCACAGGTTGGAAACCACTGCGTTAAGTTCTGATAAAATATACATATACAAAATTTAGATCTATTCTTAAAGAAGTTTTATTTATATAAAAATATATAAATTATAGTAACTTTTTACCATTTGTTTGGAATTCAAGTTGAAAACATCTAGAAATGTAAATTTTATTTGTATTATTTACCTGTACCTGCCCACATGATGCCAACATAAGCGCTTCTTACACGATGCGAGACTGATACGTTTATTGTTTAAAAATTGCGTTTAAAAAAACCCGGGACACAAGGTACTCAGTGCTGGATTACCCCATAGGCCCGTGAGGCCCGGGCCTAGGGCGGCACAATTTGGGGGACGGCAAATTTTTCCGATTTTTTTTGTCACGGCAATTTAATTTAAGGATTGATCTTGATCTAGATAATTCTCTATGAAATAGAATGCCATTCGTTTTCTAATCAAAGTTATTCAAGGGCGCCTCATTAATATTTTTAGTGATGTATCATGTTTAAAATAAAAATTATCAAATTAACTAGTGGGCTGTATGGAATTGTGCCTTAAGGAAATATGTAATTCCTTAATATAAGGAATTGCTGAAACTTCTAGTACCGTAACAAAATGTTCAAAGAATATTAAATGTTTTCAAATAGATTATTACAAATAAATACTGTAACATTGTCTAATATTTATAAGAATTATATAAACTGAATTGCAAAGTTGAAACTACATTAAAAAGTATATAAGTGAGCTTTAAAACTTTAGTCAGAATCAAAAATAAAATCTGAATTATTTTCGATGAACAAAAAAAAAATTGTTGTGAAAAAAAAATTGAAACTGATTTTTTTTCCAAAATCAATTATTTTGTTAAAACAAGCAGCAAGTTTTTTTGAATCATTTAAATCGGACGCTGGACGCAAAGGTAGGCCCAGCGGTTTCGGAGATACAGAGCTAAATGTTAAAAAAAATTGCAGTTTTTAAGAGAACTAAGCGTGCGGTTTAAAGGATTCAAAGAACTTTCTGCTTGTTTCACCAAAATAATTGCTTTTGGAAAAAAAACTTTTGTTTCTTTTTTTTTTCAAAAAATATTTTTTTGCTCAGAATTATTTACAAATGCGTTTAGACTGTGACTATACGGGAGCACTTTTTCAATTTTGTGTAAATTAGGCAACTATTTTTTTTTGAAATTGAATTCGAAAAGAAATGACGATTGTTGTTAATGTTCTGGAGATAAATTGATTTATGATTTACATTTGATTTGCTCAGATATAACAAGATAGCAAAAATAATGAAAATTACAGTATCTGTAATAATATATTTGAAAACCGTTTAAAATTTCTCGAATATTCCATTACGGTACGGAAAGTTCCAGCAATTTGCCTTAAGGCACGATGCCATACACCACTAGTTTTATTTTACAATTATATATAAAAACGCACAAATTAATAAGACGCAAATATAAATAAAAACATATTTAATACAAATAATACTTCACAATCAAATCAAATATATGAATCAAATAGAACTAGATGCAAATATTAGCAGTAATAATTTCGACCATCTCGCCACGAAGGTTGAATTATGACTGATTGTGGGGTACAATAAACTTTTCGTATTGCACCCTCTATGGTTCCGAACCCGAAACTATTCAATTAGATAACAATTTTGGAATTTTTGCATTTTAGTATCATCTGGTAACAATTCATAGTTTTGTCCTTTTCTGACCCCAATAAAAGAGGTTCGCAATAACAACTAAAATCATTCTGTATTTGGACCTCTCGGTGGAGACTACTAGGTGGTCAGTGGTAAGTCTTTTAAAAAATATTTATGTATTATGTAATCATTTCGTGCATTCAGTTTCAAATACGTGTCATGGAACTTGTGTTTAGGTTGATTCGATTTGACTTGATTTTCTGTTGAATTATAATTATAAGAATGTAAATAAATTGAAGTAAAAATTCGTCTCTTTAATATTAAACGATTTGCGTTACATTTTCTAATCCAATATATTTGTGCTGAAGTGTCGCCTTAGTGTTTATTGTTGTGAAAATATTTAATTTTAGCTATTTGAGTTAACATAAATAATTTAATGCAATCTTTAGATTATTAAATGTAAATATAATTAAATAATATTAAATTTTAATATAAATCTTATGTTTCAAATATTTACGATTGACTACATTTGTTTTGTTTCAGATTTCATACAGTGTTTTGCGCAGTGGCGGATTGCTTTAGGAATTTATTGTGCATGATTTTTTTTTATTCAATCACATTGACAATTTTTAATTATTTTTTATAATTATGTTAAATTATAATTTTGAGTTATTTGCGTCCACATTTTAATTTTTTTTTTGTTCGTGCGAGGACTTATTCGTAATTTTAATATCGTTTGAAACGATTTCCGCGTTTAAATGTGTTCCTGTCGCCTATCCCCCACGGCAGGTTCTAGTAATTCGCGTTTCGTTAATATTTTTTTTTCATTTGGTGTGTGGATCCTTGCGATGTTTTTCCCAGAAGCAACGCAACCCCATACACTTCAATTTATAATTAGTATTATTTGTACAATGTTTAATTTTTTTTGAATTATTTTGTTAGTAGCATGGATGTAAATAATTCGTTTAAAAATCTAAAAACTTTGTTAAATAAATTACTTGTTTTTATTTTGACTGATTTTTCTGCTGCAATGCAATGAATGTGTTTTAATTAAATAATTTAAATTTTTTGTGATTGCACAATAGGTCTCCTAAACGGAGAAACGTTGAAGACGTACTGTTTGAAGTTAAAAAAAAAAGGTAAGATGATACAAAACCCTAAATTATGTAAAAAAATAACAAAATTGACATTTATTTTAGTGTAAATGGGCCTCGACTAAAGATACCAGGCGGTTGAGTACTACAACGAACTACGAGTAGACTACCACATAGTATTTATAAGTCATTGTCATCATTTCAGGGTTGCAGAATTAATTTCTCACCACGACGACAAGCACCGGGACTGCTAGGAGATTGTGGTGGATTAAAAAGGTTGAAGGTACCCTTTTTGGGGTGCAATGACTGCTACTTGGTACATCTTAGCATTGCGTTTACCAATATACAGGGTTTACCTTGGCGCCCCAATCTGACTTTTAATAAAAACCGGTAATTATCTGTAGAGTGCGTAACTAACTACATGAATGAAACATAATCTGTACTTATTAACTTATTTAATGTTACCTAGTTGTGTTCGTCGTAGGTGCCAAGATATGACTGTATTTTTGTAGTCATGTCTTAAGTCTAAATTCTGATATACTATTGTTTTGGTTAATGAAAAAGCTTGAAATTATAGATGTGTATGATACGGCGTGATGACAAAGGGGATCGCATACAATCGGAGAAGCCTCACTTTTTCTGGATTGTGTGTTCTTCGCCCATGGAACAACACACGCACCACTATACACTAATTGTGTACTTCCGACTCGATTGACAACCTCAGAGGACTGATACTTAAAAAGTGATTGCGTCTTTGTAACGACAGCATGCAATGTTTCCAAAGGGTTGCACAACCTTTAGTGCAAACTACATCCGCCACCCGCCTATACGGTTCCTGTCGTATGTGGTCCAGAGTCGCGATAAAGACTACATACATCACTTCCAAGGATCTCTCCACCTGCCTATAAGGCTCCTATCGTATGAGGTACGGAGTCGCGATCGTTTTTTAGTATCAGTCCTCTCAGGTGGTCAATCCAATACGGAGGACACAAGTTAGTGCATTAGTGATGGTTGTGATGTTGTGCCAGGGAAAAAGAACACGATCTAGAAAAATCCGATCGAGTTTTCCGATTTTAAGCTTTCCCCTGCGTAATTACGCCGTTCTATACATTTTTAATCATTTCTAGCTTTATCATTACCCCATCGTTAGTACATTCGAATTTAGGCTTAATGCATCACTATACATAAGTGCGGTCAAGCTCTCGGATCTGTAAACATAACTGGGTAACAATCAATAAGTTGGTAAGTAGATTCTGTTTTAATTGTGTAGTTAGTTAAAATCTCCACTGGTAACTGCAGGTTTTGTTGAGTCGAATTAGGGCGCTAAGGTAAACCCTTCATATTGGGGAGTGAGATGCTAAACATACCAAATAGCAATCTTTACACTCTAACAAGAGTACCCTTAACCCTTTCAGTTCACTTCAATATGGATACCTACAGGTTTTTTCGTATCCATAGGTTAATGTTAAATAGTTAGACCTTGATTAGATATAAGTATAAAATATTTTTATTTTTGTTACCGGGGCCCCGTTTGTATGTTCGTCCCTATTTTTAGGGGCACTTGTGCTTTTTTTATCTCATTTCAGATATCTTTCCAAGAAAATTGCTTACCAAGCATACTACCAAAAAACCTCTACCGAATCGAAGATATGTGCAAGTGAGTACCAAGAACTACTTCCACAACCCATAGGAGGAAATTGGTCAGAACAATTGATGTACCAAGACACTAAAATTGTTGGCATACTGCTAAGTAATATGTATAAATCTTTTTTCTTTATATTTTCTAAACCACTTTTTATTTCAGGGTTACAGAATCAATGTCTTTTCGCACCACAAAGCACCAGGACTTCTAAATAACTGCCAGGAGGATACGCATATTTACAGGTTTTTATCCTATTATTGTTAATTTGACCTTATTATTAGTTATGACCATATATTCTTTTATATATACGGGGCCCCGTTTATTTGTTTGTCCCTATTTTTAGGGGCATTTGTGTTTTTTTTTTTCATTTCAGATATCTTTCAAAGAAGACATTTTATTGTATGTCTATATGTTTTACCACCAAGAGACCACTACCGAATTAAAGGATATGTGCAAGTGGGTACCAACAATTACTTCTGCAACCCATACGAATAAATGTAATGAAATTCTATGTTTACCTCTTTTTAGGTCTTGCACGAGATTTGGCAGAAAATATCAACTCAAAACCAACTAGCACCACTTCTACCTGAACTACCGCCTATAACTGAATTGGATGATATGACATAAGCGAAAGGAAAATTAACTGTGAGATAAAACTTTCTATTATTATAGTATTATTTAGTTAATATCAGGTTAAGGGACGTTTTGACATTAAAATCTTTGGTCGTACCTTTTTTGGGGTTGTTTGCGTACTTTTATTCAGAGCTCAAAAGGGTGGCGTCATGAAAGAACCTCTCTTATATTTTTCGCGCTCTTCTTTACATTAATTAATTAATTATCATTTGTCCTTAAACTTCATAGGCTGGGAACCTATGAAGTTTTTTTCCAAGTGTTTACATGGTGGATCTGGGGGGTACATCATGTAAATGCTCTTTTTTTATAAATTTACAATCACCGCTAAAATACTAAAGTATACATTTTATATTGATTTTTTTCTTTACCACGAGAGGTTCTTTCATTTTTAAAAACCGAAATTTTTGGGTACATTAGGTCATTTCGCGGGGATTGTTCTTTTCGCGATATCAGTTAGGTATAATTAGTTTGTAAGTTAGTTTAAGTGGATTAGGGCTGCACAAATCGATACTTAGTAGTATTTACACTATATCAATTTCCATTTGAAATGTTAGAAACGTAAATATGAATAGAAGTATCTATTTCTGTGGCGACACCACATTAAAAAAAACGCGCCTGGCAACTTTACCCCATGGGTGGTGAGGAAAAAAGTTGCATCCTAATTATGTACATATAATTATCAAAATTAAAAATATTTAAATAATTATGTTAATAAACATAAATGTGTCAATATATGTGTTAAAATATCTTAAAATAAAATTTTTGCAAAATAATCTTTGCTTTTTAATATGTGGTTAATGTTATTTTAAATTTTTTTTTCAGAACTTCATAAAGAATTATTAGATGCTTTCAGAAAGAATATTGTCAATAATTACTAATTTTGAATTAGTTGAATAAATACTATAAATACTACAATGCGAAGAGTTATATGATTTTGATAAAATATATTTTATCTCTTCGCATTGTTGTATGTATATAGTATTTTTTCAACTTCTAATTCAAAATCAATAACTATTATTCTTTTTAAAAGCATATAATAATTTTTTAGTATATATGAGATATAAAACTTTAATCAGAATTGAAAATAAAATCTGAATCATTTTCGATATACACAAAAAAAATGTTAAAATAAGTAGAAAGTTCTTTGAATCATTCAAATCGGACGCTTAGTTCTCTCAAAAACTGCCATTTTTTGCACATTTAGCTGGGTATCTCCGTAACGGCTGGACTTGCCTTTGCCAAAAGCTAATTACCATTTCTCCCCATCATTACAAATTGAATGTTTTTTAGATCATTCGAATTGGATGCTCCGTTCTCTCAAAAACTCGATTTCTATTTTTAGCACTCTTTGCTCCGTAACTCCGAAATTACTATTTAAAATTACTATAACTTACCCAATGCAAAGTTAAAAATTATATCTAAATAATTTAAAACAAATTGTTTAATTAAAAAAGTAAAATTTTGTCTATTAAAAAGGGCGCCTGAACGGATAGGGCCTAGGGCGGCAGAAAGCTTAAACCGCCACTGCCGGGACTGTCCTGGCCAAACCGTAACCGGGTCACCTTACCTTGCATGCACCCCAGTAGTTTCAAATGATATTTTGAAAGCAACTGTAAGAAGGATCATGCCCAACAGGGATCGTTGAAGTATTACGTAAGCAGATTTATTACAATTATTTACTGCATTTTTCAAAAAATTTTCTTGCTTGCTTTTTTATAATTTCATATATAAATGGTATATTCAGTCGGTTGTGTAGATAGCGATTGGATACATAATGATAAGTGATAGGGTTTCTCTTCATTCCGAGTATCGTTCTCAATGCTTTATTTTGTATAATTTGTAATTTATTTATGTTTTGTTTATTGGTCATACACCACGCAGGGGCTCCATAGGTTAAAGTTGATCTTACCATTGCAAGATAAAGTCTTCTCTTAATCTTCAGATCAATATTGCTGCTAAATTTTAGTAGGGGGTACAATAAATATAATAATCTATTAGCATGATTAATTTTGCATTTGATATGGTCGTTGAAATTGAGTTTTCTATCCATTACTAAGCCCAGATACTTAACTTTGTCTCTCCATAATATATTATTGCCGTTTATGTGTATGTAGGATTGAGGAACAGGTGATTTTCTTCTTTTAGTAAATAAGATTGCTTCTGATTTGGGAATATTTAGTCGAATTTTCCATCTATTAGCGTAATCCATTATTGCATTCAGGTGTTCTTGAAGTCTGATTATAATAATTCTATCGGACTTAGCGGATGTGTATATAACAGTGTCGTCTGCGAATGTTAGTAAATTGGTATTTGGTGCTGTAAGTAAATCTGATATAAAGATAGAAAATAGCACTGGCCCAAGAATACTTCCTTGAGGTACTCCTGATGAAATGGATTTTGTTGCAGAAATTTGATGTGTACTTGAAAAGATCTGTTTTCCAAGTAGCTTTTAGTTAATTTTATAAGTCCTACAGGAAAGTTCCATTTAATCATTTTGTAAATGAGGCCGTCTAACCAAACAGTATCAAAGCCTTTTCAATATCCAATAGGATCATCCCAGTGTTTCTTCTTCTATTAAATTTTAGAATTGACTGCTGAATTAGGATGGATATGGGATTAATGGTAGAGTGATTGTTTTTAAATCCATATTGGTGATAAGGAATAATATTATTGGAAATTAAAAAGTTGGACAGTCTGATATAAATGACCTTTTCTATTATTTTACTAATGCAACTTAGTAGACTGATTGGCCTATAACTTAACGGTAAGTCAGCATCCTTGAGGGGCTTTTTATTAGGAATAACTTTGGAGGTTTTCCACACAACTGGAAAATAGTTAAATTTTATAATTGCGTTTGTAATTTTTGATAAAAGAGTAATACTTAAGTATTGAACGGCCCCACTGGTTGGAAACCACTGCGATAAGTTCTGATTGTTGTTAAAAATATACATACACAAAACTTATATACGAGGTCTGTTCAAAAAGTACCCGGAATTTTCGTTTTTTCAAAAAAATATTTATTTATTCGTCTACATTAATGTGGTCCCCTTCAAAGTAGTCCCCCCAGATATAATACACTTATGCCAGCGTTTTTTCCAATTTTCGAAGCACCCTTGATATTCACTTTTTGATATGTCCTTGAGCACTCTCAGCGATTTTCTTCAATCGAGGAAAACCGCCGCCCTTTCATGGGTCTCTTCAACTTTGGGAATAGGAAAAAGTCACACGGAGCCATATCTTGTGAATTTTTGCACTTTGCAACACTTTATTTCATTTTTTACGCAAAATTTAATACAAATTCTTTGACTTTTCAATTCTTCCATTGTAAAAATCGCCGAGCTCAGAAAAATACGTCGAACCTTAGCGACTACCACAGACAAAGTAAACAGTGAATATAGCTGAAAATTTCATCATACTTTAGGGGCATGTATACCAACACAATAAAAAAAAAAATTTGACAATCAGACACTCCAGACCCGCGAAATTTAATTATTAGTAATTCCGGGTACTTTTTGAACACACCTCGTATATTCTTAAAAAAGTTTTATTTATATAAAAATATACTTATATATAAATTATAGTAATCCAAGTTGGAAACAACTAGAAATGTAAATTTTATTTGTATTATTTACCTGTACCTGCCCACATGATGCCAACATAAGCGCTCCTTCGATCAACACGATGCGAGACCGATACGTTTATTATTCCAACAGACGCCGAGCCGGATGGACGTCTGCGATAAGTATATGAATTTAACTGTTTATTAAATTAATATTAAAGTTATGAGTGAAATAGTTCTAAAATTGTGTTACTAATTAAATAAAAGTTCTCAATAAATAGTGTCATATGTGAATTATAAAGAAAGTGATAATAATTTTCGAAACGTCGATCTCGATCGTTTGAATTACCTGTCAAAGTGTGCAGACAATGAGACAATGTGTATTGTGTAATGGTAACATGTAATAATTAATTTTTCTGCAAAAATAATAATTTGTAAGATTGGTTATTGCTGTCTTGAAAAAACTGTTCAAAAGTGTTATATACTAAAAATTATTTTAAAACCAACGCGCGCGTAGGCTTCATATAAAGTATGAAAACCTTGTTTTATTACTATTTTTGTGCAATATAGAACTTTTACCTAAATGTGATACCTGAACATAGGACTAATAATAAAACATATAGAACAAATCCCAACAAAATGTGACGGAATGTACATTATTATCACACGCATCTCCCATATCAGGTTAGTAAATAAATTTTAGTTTGTTTTATCTATATTTACAAAATAATAATAAATTTAATTTTGTGTCAATAATATCTTTTAAAATTGTTCCTGTACGATGACAAACAGTTAAGAGAGTTATTATTTTATTAACTGTGCCTAATTGTTAATTCTGTACGCAGATGCTATCGGTTATCAATTTCTTTCATATTTTAATTTGCGTGTGCGTAAATGCTGAGAGCGTAGGTGTCAGTGTGGACTTTCGAAGTAATATAATTTTACAGGAACGTATTTTATTTTTACCTTAAATTCATATGTATTTATTTATTTATTTATTAACTTCCCGTAGGGTAAGTTATTGTGATGGGCCGAAAATCGGAATTGAAAATTTTTACATTTCTCGACGTTTTGAAGGTTTCTGAACATTTTGGCATACCTCAGAAAAAATTGATGTGTGTGTGTGTGTTTATGTATGTATGTATGGATACAAATTTTCGCCCACGTTTTCGGGCGTACGGATCAATCGATTTGAATGGTTTAAAAAATATTCGATTCCTATTGATA